GATGGATTGGGCATACATTGGGAGGACCATTCGGGGACATCACGTGTCATGCCAGGCACTCGAGTGGAACCCAGATGGGAAACGGCGAGTTGGGCGTCCGAGGGTGACATGGAGGTGATTGTGTGAGGAAGAAATGAGAGGTTGTGGGCAGTCGTGGAGCCAGGTTCAAAAGATTGAAGAGAAGAGAGTGGAATGGAGACGTGCTAGTGAAGCCCTATGTTCGACTAGGAACCCAAGCGACAAATAGTAATAAAAAATCATTTTTGCACGTTCAGAAAGTTTCCTGGGTGTTACCAACAAATTCTCATTGAAATGTTGGTTTTAGGACCGATTGTTAGCAGACTGAACGTTATTAGCGTGTTAATACATTGGGCAAAATTTATTGGTGAAACCAGTAAAAATTCCAAGTCGTGACTGACTATGCACGATCAGAGATTGTAAAGAAGATTTCACGAAATTAATCTACGTACTTCTTAGGCTACTCTTATTGTTGGTGTTGTGACCGAGTGGTAGGGTTGCGCGCGCCTGGGTATAATCAATACTGAAACCCAATAGACACCTCAACCCAATACCTTTACGATTGACCCGCCTTAGTACGTTCTGCTTCACTAAGCAGTGAAAAAAACCAGAAGATAAAGACAGCCTGTGACTGCAAGAACAGCGACGACTTTTATTAGGCGAATACATGATATGTATGTATTTACAAAACTCTCAGAAAGTGAAGCCATAAATGAACCAATCCGATTTCTTGTATGAGATCGAACTTCTCCAATCAGGTCCTCATGTCATCACATGCATAAATCACGACCTGAACATGATCTGATCATGACTTGAAAACAATTTCTCTATTGGCTGCCTTTTGTCGCTACGTAACAGTTGGTCTTCTTATTCCTCATCTGGTTAAAAAGTTCGAATAATTACTATTCCATTTATGACAACTGATCTTTTCTTAATTACATTTTATTTGATTTAGCCTATTTTTCGTGGGCGGATAAAATGTAACATTACTTATTGTGATATGACTTAATCGATTGGACATCTATAAAAACATAACATGAACTATATCAGACTACTGTTCAACCTGATACATACTGCATTTCATGTTAACATGAATAGGTTAGATAGTGCGAACAAGTATGTCATATAATGAACACAATTGAACACTGCATACAATATTATCAAACCAATTTCGCACTCAAAAGTCATGCCAAATACTTCAGCCTAGCATAGCAACCAATAACAAAAATACAACTCATTTATTGAATGTCATTAAGTCAGCTAATGGGAAATGAGGTCGCCAGAGACTGTCTAAAGAATAAATATGTGAAACGGAGTTTTTCAAAAACAGAACAAAGAAATAAGAGAAAAACAACCTACTGACAAAAGCTCTTGTCATTGTTCCACAATGTAGGTATACAAGAAAACACATTATGTTCGTGTGGTCATTTATAGTATTGAGATAAACTGCCTAAGAATTCATGCAGCTCACACTAGTTAATAATTTAGATGGATTATGAGCTGTTTCATTTCTCAGTCTACATGCAAATTTTAACTTGGTAGAAAGCATAGTGCTACCAATATGATGACTGATGACAAGCTAATAATTTATTTACCTTTTGATTAGTACAAATGATAACTGTTTAAATTATTTTACTGAAATCATAAATGGAAAATTTTGTTTTCAAGTTACTGGAACATTATATGTGGTGTAAAACAATTGACTTCATCATCATTATCAACATAGGACCAGGCATTACTGAGTAACGGTCCGAGTTGCCACACCTCATATCAGCACATCAAGTAAAAAGTTAGTGAGGCGAAGGATGAAGATAAGTGAATGCAGTCAAAAGAAATATAAAGTACGAGAAGAAAGGAAAGAGGAGTGACAAAATGGTGAGATTCGGTATAGCGTTGTTAGGATGAGGATAATGTATGTATACATCTGCGCCACTGACTTCGGTTCTGAGCCATATCACCTAGGGTCTCCAACCACTGGTTCCTCTTGTCCCGTGGACCCCAACCACCTAGTCTGCATCGTCCTACATGGCTTAAACCAACAGTCAGAGACTTCATACATTGGTGCCATGTTTTAGTCTGGCCACCTCGGGCCTTTTTCCAGCCTGGACCACCTCAGCCAACATTGTGTGACGAGGCAATCGGTGACTAGGCATACGTATACGTGTCCCAACCATCTCAGTCGATGAAGGTTCACAACCTCGTCGACTGACTTACCTCTTCTCCCTAAAACTCTACACCTAACTTCTGCATTACTCACATGGTGACACCACGGAATACGTCCTATACTACGAAGGCAACGGTGGTCAAATACCTGTAACCTTCTCATGTCTTCCACTTTCAATGGCCATGTTTCACAGCCATACAGTAGAACAGACCGGACTGCTGTGCAGTACACGCGACCCTTAATAGACAATTGACTTGGGATTCAGAAATACTGTTGGAATAATTAACGGTCACAAAGGAAAAGTTTAATTTGAAACCAAAATCCAGGAGTTAGTATAAACAAATAACGAAAATTATCAACAAGGATAAAAGTATAGGTGATGCGATAAGTTACTACCAGTTAATGGTTTTATCAAGTAACAAATAACAGCGACCATTATTACTCTATGTTCTTATTGAATAACTTCTGTGAATTAATTAAAAAGGACTGCAGGATTTAAAGTTCAGCAAAACACTTATCTATAGTTATGTCACTTTATATGAGTTGTTTTTATGGGTAGTAAAATTTCCCATATCTCTGGTATGGGTGTTGCTTCATTTCTATTACGTGTGTTGCGTGTTAATTCGATAAACAAAGATTCAGTAATCAATCTCTCTCTCTCTCCACCTAACTATATTGGACCCAATTACATTGGTTTTATCCTACTCACCCTATTGTGTGGTTATATGTTAATGCAGGCATAGCAACAGCCGAGTTTTTTTCTAGATTATTGATCTTATTTGGGTCTGTTATTCTATATTTAGCTAAATTCCTATGTTCGGCTATTCTAACTGACCGTGATCGATTAGTTTGACCTATATACTTGACCTCATAGACGGTGGCTTGGATACTACTGTCTACAGAAAACCAACACATTCCAACAGGTATCTAGACTTCAAATCATCCCATCCAATGTCAGTCAAGGCAGGATTAGTCAAATGTCTAAATGATAGAGCTAGAAAACTTACTAGTCAGAGTAAGAACCTAAACAAGGAATTGAAACACGTAAAAGAAGCGCTAATACCTAATAATTATCCTCCGCAGTTTATTAAGAAATTCTTACGGACACACACAAAAAGAAAAAATAACAGTCACACGAGTGCGACTAATAACGACAACACGAGAAAGAGTCCACAGCCTCCAATGTATTACCCTATAAGGAGGGTACCTCGGAAACTTTACGTAGAATCCTCAACAGAGCTGAATTTAGGGTGGCATTTACACCTACATACTCACTCAGAGATAAGTTTTGTCGGCTTAAGGATCCGATAGAACCAATTCAGCAAAGTAATGTAATCTATCAAATTCCATATAGGTCAAACTAATCGATCACGGTCAGTTAGAATAGCCGAACATAGGAATTTAGCTAAATATAGAATAACAGACCTAAATAAGATCGGTAATCTAGAAAAAAAACTCGGCTGTTGCTATGCATGCATTAACACACAACCACACAATAGGGTGAGTAGGATAAAACCAATGTAGTTGGGTCAAATATATTTAGGTGGAGAGAGAGAGGGAGATTGATTACTGAATCTTTGTTTATCGAATTAACACGCAACACATGTAATAGAAATGAAGCAACACCTATACCAGAGATATGGGAAATTTTACTACCACTAAAAGCAAATCATATGAGGTGACATGATTATAAAAATCAAATGTTGAAAGTAGTGTAATTACATTGATATAATTATGAACAATAATTTATGCTCGAAACGTCATCAAGTAAATAATACTAAATCACTGTGTGTTACAAATCAAATAAACAAATCTAATATGGAATTAAAACATTTGTCTAACTACAAAGTATGACAGGCTTATCTGAGCTCCAGAATACACGACTTCGTTGTATGAACAAACATTTATACAAAAAGTCAGAAGAGATACATTTTAATTGTAGGATGAATTCGCTTCATCATATGGTTCTTATTCAGCAACGAATTTTCGCAGTAATAAATAAACATGTTGAAGAAAAGTTCAACGTTTAAGGGATAAGGAAATATAGAAAATGCGAATCACAAAGTTCTAAGACTGCAAAAACCATATTACGTGGTGAGAGCTTGGGCACTGTGGTCGATTGTAATTCCATTTTAGTCTGTTTATTAGAAATATCACACAGTGAAATAGTAGCATTTACTGGTTAACTTTTCGGACACAATTTATTGTCCATATTCATATCAGGTAACTCCACAACTTCGAGACAGTCTTTACATATTCCTAGTTTTCTCTCCTTCTCTGTGATGACAAGAGTAGTAGAATTTTCCATATATCTGGGACAGGTGCAGAATCATTTCGATTGCATGTGTTTATCGAATCAACACCAAACATATGCAATCGAAATGATTCTGCACCTGTCCCAGATATATGGAAAATTCTACTGCTCTTGTCATCACAGAGAAGGAGAGAGTAGATTAGGAATATATGAAGTCTGTCTCGAGTTACGTGATATGAATATGGACAATAAATTGTGTCCGAAACTAACCATAGAAATAGTGAACGAAATACCTTCTTGGCAAGCTTTTGTTCTGACACAACTATATATGAGTATACTGTAGGTTTTTTGATATACAGAATACAAGATGTCATAACAAGTATTACTAGGAAAACTGAAACCTGTTTAATGTATACTGCTACATGGGACAGAAGCTAAGAACGGCATGGACTGTAGATGATGGTAGATTGACAGTCAAACATTATTAAATTTATGTATGCAAATATTTTTATCTCTATTCTCTACTATCTAAAGTTGCCTTTTTTTCTTCTAAAAATTTCATAGGTCATAAACCACAAGCTGTCGAGATGAAACCATCAGGTAAAATGAAAATACATGGGAGTAGCTAGTTATCTTTTCATCTTTCAGGAACTAGTATACTGTATTCAATCTTGAAATATGCATTGGAAGATCAAATTGAAGCTACCAAAAACAAAACTGAGATTCGTAATTCATAGAATAAAAAACCTCATACTTCCCATCTAGAACTTTGCCTTTTTTGTTCTTATACGATTGCCTGTATCACCTTAAAGAAAGCAGTGGAGTGCTTACACAAATAACTTAGCTTTAAAAATCACTTATTCTAAAGAATATATATGCATTAGCTGTCTCTATGAAATGTCTCAATAGTCATCCGTCTATGATCTCTAAATTAATTAGCCTTTTAATTGAAGTGAAGAAGTTTGGAGGAATCAACTCACTTCGAATTTAGTACAGTTTTAGTGAAAATTGAAGTAATGAGACGTTTAATGATGGATAGTGGCTAGCAGTAGAATTCAGAACACGCGTTTCATCCTATTTGAAACTCGTCAGTTGGACGTCCAAGTGACTGTTGTCTCTACTGGGACTAGAACCCGGGGTCGATCGCCTCAAACGCCAGGCAGTTATCCAATAGACCACTGAGCCATGATAGCTAGTTCTTGTGCGATGGGTATAGTTGTAATGTTGTAGCTTGCATTATCCCGTCGCTGAGTGAACCCAATTGATTGGTCTCTATTAGCTTATGTATTCTTAAGCAGATGCCTCGATATTGCCTGTTTTAAATAGGTATCAATGATAAATAGTGGATAGCAGTGGAATCCAGGAGGAAGGTTTCGTCCTACTTGGGACTCGTCAGATGGATGTACCTGCATACCAGTGAGTGGTATTGTTCGTACTCGGACAACATTGATTTGTTAAAAAGTCAGTTAATATTCAGTCGTTCAAGCAGAGAAAGGATGCCATATATGGAAATAAGGTTATTATGTTAACTCTAAATTTACGTGTTATTTTGGTCACTTAAGGCATCTATTACAAACGTCAAAAAGAAAATCAGATTACACTTTAAAAAGTTAACATATTCGAAGAAAACAAGAAAATCTCCAGTATCAGATTGTTTAAAAAACATAGATGTTTTGTAAAAGATATGGCAACATCAAAAAACCAATCTTCATAACTATGAACAAGGATATTGTGCTGTAGAAAGTCAAGGGAAAATTGCAAAAAATATTTAATGCTTTTTCCCTAAAATCTTTCCTTGAGGTAATGTGATTTTCACACAGCCGGGGAAATTTCGTGACACTTCTTCATCTTTCATAGCACGTATCAATTCTCGTTCTCTATTTGTTGTAGACTTATCTGATGTAAATTGAAACAAAGCCATTTTCGATGCTAAATTGTGAAAGAAAACGGAAAATCATGAAATAGAGGTACGAAAACCTGTGATAAAAGATTCATAATAATAATAATAATAATAATAATAATAATAATAATAATAATAATTCACTTTATTCCAAACAATTTGTGGTACAATTTGGAATTCTCAGCTTAATGTATATTGCAATAACAACAAAATATATCTGTATATACATACTACTTTGAAGCCTTCCAAATTGTTTTATTATAAAAATTTAAGTTATGTGATGAATATTAAAAACTGTCAAAAAGTTGATGTGTGATTTCTGTTCTAACACTTTTTTCCTCACAAAATATACGTGCAAGGTAAGGTACAGTCGGGTTCTTGTACTTAGCTGTACGAGCATACAGTCTTATGCAGTTTCTCCTTGTCCTCCCTGAGGAGATACATGGAAAGGACTGTATATGAAATGGATGCTCAGTGTCAGTTAACATTTCTGTAGCTAGTTGCTTGCAGGAATTTATATGTCGATCAACTAGTGTTGATCAGTTGAGCCAGAGACACACCACTCACCCTGTTGACGGTCTTCAAAGCCCTATGCAACATAACATAGTCCTTTTTAAGAAGACCACGAAAAATTAATGGGGAACAACAGAGAGGAGGAATAGGTAAAATGCAGGAATTAATAAATTGTAAAAAAAGCAGTTGAGTTATACCAGAAAGCCTTAATTTCTTTACGTAATAAGTTAAACGAAAGATTGTTTTACAAGTCAATAAAATGTGGGATGACCAACAAAGGTCAGAAGTAAAACGCAACCCAAGATAGTTCACACTCGATTTACTTTCTGTAGAAATACCATTGATGCAGCAGGCGTCATCAGATTTAAGCAGCTCACATAAGTCTTGTTTAAGCCTGAGGCTGAAATTAACGGTCTGACATTTAGAAGGGTTTAGTCTGAGACCATCTGAGAGAGACCACTTACCAACTTCAGACAAGAATTCATTTAATTTCGAGCAATCCAAAGAAGAGTTTATTGGAATAGAAACCATCAGGTCATCAGCATACTTGATAAAATTAGTTTCAACAGAATAAGGCAAATCATGCAAAAAAAAGGAAAACAGAAAAGGAGAAAGTACAGTACCTTGAGGCACACCAGCTTCAGTAAGCAATGAAGTGGAGTGCATTCCTTTATGAATAGTGTACTGTTTCCTTTCAGAAAAATAAGAATGCAGCCATTTTTTAACCCATGGATCAGTGTGAGCTATGGCAGGCTTATTTAACAAAAGTGGTCTAGGAACAGTCAAAGGCTGATGGGTAATCCAAAAAGGCACAACGAACATACTTAACACCTTTGTCGAGACTAGAAACAATTTATTATGCAAGATAGTGGCTGCATCTAAAGTACTCCTCCGGTGTTTGTAAGCAAATTGTTTTGGATCTCTGAAGGCTATCAATGAAGGCTCAATCACAAGCAGAAGTAATTTCTCCATTGTCTTCCTAAAAGGGGAAGTTATAGCGATGGGTCGAAAAGTAACATCTGATCCAGAGGATGACTTAGGCACAGGTACAATTTTTATCTGCTTTCAAGCAGTGGGTATTATGTTTTTAGAAAACGATACATTGAAGATATCTGTAAGTGGATGACATAAAATATATGCACATTTTCTAAATATAATACTAGAAACACCATCAGGACCTAAGCTTCGGGAGGGATTCAAGGACTTTAGACATTTAAATACGTCATTTATATTTAAGCCTAGAAAGCAGCTATCCACTTGACTTTGGACACTAGGAAGGGTGAAATTAGTTTGCAGACGTATAAATGACTTGCTTAACGCACAGACATCTGAACGAGTTTCTTTTGTCATCTGTTTTTTTACCAGTAAGCTCTTTAAATAATTTCAATATATTGAAAGAGTTCTTACACGATAGGAACTTCTGGCTGTATATAGTATTCAGATGTTGTATTTCAGACTTAATTAGGCAGTTAAGCCTTTTAACGCCAGGGTGATCTCTCGCCTTGTACCTTTCCTTTTCTCTCCGGAGCCTCTTGAGATGAGGAGAGAAAAGTCTGTCACATCTCATGTAAATTGTTTCAGCAGGGCAGCAGATATCGAGACAGAATCTGAGATAGCTTGTGATATTGGTGATAGTGTTGTTTAAAACTTCATCAGCAAATATATCCCAGTCCGTTTCTATAAGGATGCTTCTCAAACGTAGTATATTTTCTTGTGAATAGCATCTGTATTGAACTTTCCTGGAAACATATCCGAAATTTTTCTTGTATAATTTTGCCGTACGCTTCAGGCAAAACATGAACAATACAGTGGTCAGAATTTAGCAGCGGAGACCGTTTATGGGCTTCATATATGCCAGGTTCATTTGTAAATGCAAAGTCTAGGGTGTTGTCAAGACGAGTGGAAAGTTAACCACATTTTTATGACCCAATGATAATAGAAAACTGCAGTCACATGAGTTAAAATCTCCACAGACAATAAACAAGCAGTTTCCCAGAACCGGAGAAGCAAATTCAGTGAATTTATCAGCAAAAGTTGACAAATCTGAGAAACTACAATAAGGTGTGATATACATGTTATATATATATATATATATATATATATATATATATATATATGCTCAAATGTTTGGGACGACATTTGATGGTAATGCACTCAATTTTTTCGTTAGAGAAGCAGAAGCATACATAGTTGGAGGAGGACCAGTTTGCACTAATAAATGTTGCTACACTACCACCACATTTCTTCTTCAAAAGGCTTCGATCTTGTCGAAATAATTTGAAACCATCTAAGCAGACTAAATTATCATCATACAGGTTATGAAGCCATGTTTTCTGTAGCATTATTACACCCGTGTTTCGATAAACATTTGTGGACAAGAGTAACTGAAAGTAATCAACTTTATTCGGCAACGACCTGCAGTTTGTGCAAAGTATTTCCGGGATAGTCATTTGATCTATGGTCATACACTTTAGAGCCCGTTGCCATCCACCGTGGTGTTTCTCCTTAAATTTTCTATCAACTTGCGAAGCGATAGGTTGTAATGATTTTAAAAACGCGCGAAAAAAATACAATACGATTGGTTGACATAATTGGACGATTAAAACAATATAGAAATGAGAAATTTGACGTAATATATTCGGTGATAAAAAAAGGTAGCCCAGAGTTCAAGCAGGTCACCAGATGTGGAAGTTGTCTCTTGCATGATTCACTAAATTACTGAATCTAACGAGTTCGGATAACTTATTTATAGTGCAGGAATTTCTCTATGCACAACTATCAGTATACTGATTGCAATGATACACATATTTTCCAAATACTCAACTACTTGTTACTCGTTTGAAACCTGCTTCATTTAATTCGGTTTAAAAAGAACCGATAACACAGCGTTTAAAAGCCTAACACAAAGTCAGTCTTTGTTACTATACTTTATAATACTAATTCCATAATTGGAATGAGTTTTTCAGGTGATCTGTATTCACAGAAGTAAGCATCATCGAAAAGGTAACCAGTAACAAAGATGCTAACCCTAACTATGTACATGACCATATTTCTTGAGTGTTATGTAGACATCATAACTTTAATGGTGTTGCATATAAAATAAGAGTGATGTTGATAATGCATGAGACATTTTCTTCTTGTACGACACAAAATCTACTGGTCATATAAACTATGAATAAACTCTGGAATTTTCTAAAAGTCATTTATCTATTACCTGACTGTTTGTCTGTGCATAAACTTTTGTACTTATATAAATGCTGATGAGAAAAAACTGGACAGAAAAGGCTATAGATTTTTGAAAAGTTCAGAAAGAATTTTATCTCCATTGTTTATTCATGATAAGTTAAAAAGATACATCCACATGAAAAGACAATGACACAGCCATAATCAATTCTACAGGTATAAGCCAACTGAGATATATCGCAATCTACGACGAACAACCCCTGTTGTGCCAAGGCTAATGATACTACTACCTGGCTGTTAACACATTTCCCAGTCACCTCAGTCGATGAGGGTTGATAACCTCATCGACCGCTTTCCCCTTATCGTTTAGTACCCTTTGCCTAACCTCAACACTGCTCACACAGTGATTCCACCGAACGCGAACAATGGTACGAAGACACTTATGATCAAAACCCTGTAACCTCTACGTCTTCTACTTTTAACGGTCATGTTTCACAGCCGTAAAACAGGACAGAACGTATTGCAGCACAGTATACCTTGTCTTTTGATAGATAGTCGGATATCTCGTCGGTTGGCGCCTTAGGTGACACGAGTTAGCAAATGACAAACGCACCTTCTGTATCCCAGCTGAGATTTCATCAGCAACCAGCCCGTTCGAGATGCTGCAACTCCCCAAGTAAGTGATGTGGTCGACACACTACACCGCTTCACTCCCGATCATAAAAGTGGCAGTGGTTGCAGACCAGTCCTGGGGCATTTTCTTACATTTGGAAAGTGTGAGACGCGTGTCAAACGTACTCAGATTTTTACCCAATGAGTTCGTAAGACTCTAAATTTTGTCAGCGTCTTCACCTAGTAAGACAATATCACCTGCGTACTCCAATCGAACTAGGCACAATCAGGGAGTAGATCAAGCTGTCAGGTTCCCCTGCTTTGCACCGTCTCAGGTTCGAAACAGCCTTCTCAACTTCAACGACAGTTGAGGGACCGACATCTACGTCCTATTTAGATCCAGGTTGGGTGTTGGGCAACTAAGGGGCTGCTACGGGCCAGTTCAAAGCGTTCCCGGAAGCGTTTTAGGCGCCTGTCCTGAGAAGTTGTCAGCGTCCTATCTTTTTCGATGGTTTCACTAACCGTCGTATTCTTCCTGCCAGTATCCCTAACAAGCCTCAGCCTAAAACAAGGTCTTAAGAGACTAAAAGTGAAGTTTCAAAGACTTGGATGGTTGCCAATGGTTGCAGAGTGAGAGTTTGAGGAAGTTGTAAGATGCTTAATGTTGGTATCAGGAAGGAAATGAAAAGGAGACAAACGTGAGAAGAGTAGGTTATGCTTGATTAGGTTTTGCAGTTGATACGTCTCGGCTGCTGACACCATGGAAAGCTATTCCTTATTCAGGTACCTGAAAGAGGAGAAGATTTGGGTGATTGCAGAAATCATGAGAAATCTGCATGAGGCTAGTCCCATATAGCTAAAGAGTATGAAACGAAGTTCAAACTCAACAACATAAGCGTGATAATAGAGCAGTAAAATGTAAACACTGTTTATTTGTATGATAGAATTTTTCAACAATTGAAAAATCTGAGGAATAAGCACAAAAAACCATGCATAAAACGAAGCATCTAATGGACAGTTATCATCAAAAAAACCAATCAAGTCGTATTTTATTGTTATTATTTGTCCCTTGAGTTCCTAGTGGGACATAGGGCTTCGCTAGCACACCTCCATTGCACTCCCTTCTCTATAGTCTTTTCAACCTGGCTCCACCACTGCACACAAGCTCTCATTTCTTCCCCACACCATTTTACCCATGTCATCCTCGCATCAAACGCCCAACTCGTCGTTTCCCCTTTGGGTTCCAATCGTCGGCCTCGCCTCACGCGTGATGTCTCAGAACAGTTTTCTCAGTGTAGGCCCAATCCAATCCATCTACACTTTCTTATGCAGATTTGTTGGGCGATAGGTTCTTGGTTGGTTCGTTTCCACCCAGTCAGAGTGAGTTCCTTGTTGTGTATTCTTACTATTCTGACCATCTGTCTGATCTTCAGTGTCAGTATCGAGTGAGGAGCGTAGGCGGCAGTTGTTCATGATGTATGTCTAGTTTGTTGGAAATGCTTTCCGTCACGCTCCAAGTCTCTCAACTATCACATAGAAGCACTGACTCACTTGACTGAATTAGTGTTGAAAATTCAGTTCTTGTTCACGCTTTATACTGAGTGCAGTGCAGTAGGTCTCCACACTGATTTCAGAATAATCAAGGCCTATCTTGCTGTCTTTCCGATCTTGGTTTTCGCGTCCTCATGTGTGCCCCCACCTGTAGTTGAAATGATGCTGCCTACGTAGGTAGGTGAAAGAGACAACTTCCTTTAGATTTCTTCCGTTGAGGGTGATTGGTGCTTGTTGTTGTTGGTTGGGCATTTTCACCACCTCTGTCTTCTCTAAGTTCACTTGAAGTCCTGTCTTCGCTATCCTGTCTCTTCTGTCAACTTGTTGGTTTTTGTCTGCAGATCCTCGAGTTTGTGCAACACTAGACATAAATCATCATCTACAAAATCCAAATCCTCTAAGGTCTTGCCATCGGTCCAGTTAGCGTATGCCCATAACCTCGCTCCTCACGGTTTGGTGCATGATCCAGTCTAGTCGACCACAATCAGGAAGATCATCAGTGGTAGTAGACAGTCTCGTCTTACTTCTGTCTTCACTTCAAAGGCGTCACTGAGCTTTCAAGTCGTACAGGCTAAATATTATAGATGAAGTTATATAAAGGTTGTCGAGGAAACACCTACGTATCATTAAACTTTGTTTTACGTATATACACAAAGAAACTAGAATTAGCTTAGGACTAATTAGTGGACAAAAACTTTCGCTCTTTAGTGAATATCTTCACGTATTGAATCAAACTGGTGGGCATTTTGTTTTAATTATCACCATATATGTAAATAAAACGTAACTGAACACTCATTAAATATCCATTTAACTGGAAACCATTATTAACTAGTGTTAATAAATGTATACAAGTAAACAGTTAAAAAGCATATTTCTCATCATACCTTTTCCTCTTTTAGTAGTCCCTGGATTAAGCTTAACTCTGAATTTATACTTCAACATTACTGAATAAGGACCACACACAGGGATAGCGTATAACAATAAATCATCATTATATGGTTGACCAGTCAATGAATTTAACATCAAAAGTAAATCATCTTTAGTTTCATCCAATATATCTTCATCATTATTGATGCCATCTTCAACTTCAATATCCTGTACATTATCTTCGTTCTGATTATCTGATTTAACTGAATGATTATCATCTGATTTTTTTACAGAGATTATGGACTCAACCTCATCTTTGTTTGGTTGATCGTTTTGTATGCTGTCTAACTTATCTACTGGTTGAAGATCAGTAGTAGATTGTGATATTTTAGTATGGCTTGGTAGATGATCACGCTCAAGAATTTGATGATACTGACTTGGTTTAGCATCGTCTCCCTGAAATAAAGATAAGACTACATTTATAGAAATAAAGTTATTAGTTGTCTTTGATATTTTTTTTATACAAACAAGGGATAAGAAACGACAGCATTGCATAGAGGTTGCGCTATATCGTGAACTGACAGGAGGTATAGACGATTGGATTCCGATTCAGTGGTTATTAACATGCTGGCAGCGGAACCTGAAGGTACCGGCGAGGCAGTGGGTGTGCACTGCTGATGAGTCACATTCTAGAACGAAACAACCGTCCACTGCTGTCAGGTTCCCAATATTTCTCCAATTGATGTCAGTCCATGATGAATACTAACCTGAAATAAATGAATAAGTTTTCACTAACCTCTAAATTAGACTGTCTGAGATAACTATAGTCCGTTTATTAGAACTGTCACACAGTGAAATAGTAGCATTTACTGGATAACGTTTCGGACACAATTTATTGCCCATATTCACACCAGGTAACTCCACAACTTACAGACAGTCTTTATATATTCCTAATTTTCTCTCCTTCTCTGCGATGACAAGGGTAGTAGAATTTTCCATATATCTGGGACAGGTGCAGCATCATTTCGATTGCATGTGTTTGGTGTTGACTCGATAAACGCAGATTCGGTTATCAATCTCTCCCTCCTCCACCCAACTAAGTTACCTTTAAATACTGTCGCTCTATCCCACCCTACTTTGTGATTGTGTGAAACCGCGTCCAGAGGTATAGTTGAGCTTTTCTCTAAATTTCTTATCTGATTAGGATCTACTAAACTTGATTCGACTAAGTTAAATCCCCAAAAAGTGATTAAAATAAAGTCATGATAATCACAGTAATGGATGAGAAATGGTTGCATTATTCGGGATAGAATACTCCCTACATGGATGGGTCCCTAATGTGCCTAAAAAGGTCCGAATGCTAACTGAAGTGTACTGGGTGGTACAACACTACAGTTTACTATGTTCGATATTATTCGTCAGCAATACTACATGGCATAGATATTGTCTCTGAGTATTAATGAATATCGAAGTCAAAAATTTTAGCACTGCGATATAGACAAATAAAATCAGCGTAGAATCTGGCTCACAAGTCGATAGGTAAGACTGATATTAAAGCAGATATAACTCTATGGGCGCAGGGGGGACTTCAAGATTTAAGTTAGTCAAAACACTCAAGCTTTGGAAGAAATCCAATAACGAACACAACTGCTCCATTGTGACCACTTTTCAGCCATTTCACCAAGAGTTCTCAACCACTGATTCATTTAGTCTCGGGAACCTCAACTAGGAAGTCTACATCTCCCGACACGCCTCAGACCAATAGTAAGAGAATTCATCGATAGGTACTACGTCTTGGTCTTGCTATACTGAATCCTACATCAACCTAACCCAACTTTGCCTAACATGTCACAAACAGGTAGGCGATGGCTGGGCATGCGCAGTACATCTCCAACCCACCTTATTCCATGAAGTTTCACAAACTCACCAACCAACTTATCTATCTTGTCTAGTAACTTCTGCCTGACCTCAAATATTTCTTACACCGTGATCCCACCAAACGCTACTAATCGTATGAAGACACCTGCAATCGAAAACCTATAACTAACACATAACTCATATAAAATTATGGAAAGTAAGTCAATATATCTGTAATTTGGCAACAAAATGGAAAGTTTTTCAACTGTTATAAACGAAACCTATCGTAGGTGTACCAATGATGCTGCCAACCGCGAACCTCAGAGGCGAAATGAATTTCAACGTAACTGTCCACTAGTTGAAATGCAAACGTTATTAAGTGAGTCACAAGTTCACAGAAGTCAAATAATCAAACTCTTCTTGTCTGATTGTCAATGAATTTCATTGTGTGGATAATTGATGATGTCATCCGTAAGTTCATTATTCTCAATTCAACACATCATAAACCTAACTCAGAATTTTCAATGAGACTCGAATAAGAATGGCATTGAAGCCTAAGATATGACTGAGAAACAAACCGTGTAGGCTAAAATAGTCTATTAATTCTTCAAATGAACAAAAAGAATTGATTTTGGGGCTTTGTGGAGATTCAGAGATTTTTCAAGTTGGTATTCATCATGAACTGACATCAGTTGGAGTAACACTGAAAACCCGGGAGCACTGGACAGCTGTTTCGTCCTGATATGAGACTTCTCAGCAGTACGCACCCATGACCTCACACACCAGAAACCAAACCCAGAACCTTCAGGTTCCGTGGCCAGCGCGTTAACATTGAGCTGCTGGATCGGAATCCAATAGTTCATATTTCCAACTTCTATCAGTTCAAGAAATAGCGCGACCATCGCCCATTGTCATCGTTGAGTATTTGTCCTCACGACGGCCAGGTTTACCCCAATGGTCACAACTTCTCACTGGAACTTCAGGAATTACCTCTTGAAGCTAATCACCAATGAGCACCAGTTCAATTGAATTAAGGGGTTTGTGGGCATTCAGTGATTTTTTAAGTTAGTATTCATCATGGACAGATATCAGTTAGAGGAACTGATGGTGCTCGCGCTAAGTCGTGAACTGACAGAAATTGGATATATGGACCATTAGGTTCCGATCCAGTGGGTTAATGGTGACATACTCACCACGGAACGTGGAGGTTTTGGGTTCGATCCCTGGCGGGGTAGTGCGTGCGCACTGCTGAGAAGTCCCATACAAGGAGGTAACAGCTGTTAATTACTTAGCGAGTTCCAGTTTTTCACGTAATTACGTAACCTGTCAGCTCTTAAACAGTCTCTTCTTTAATAATGATTTTCGTTTGTTGTCCCTCCACTCCACAGCTCCGGAATTTTCTATCTCATCAGATATAAATCGCCATTGATTCTGACTAAGATTTGTAACTATTAATCCTGTGTTTTCTTGACTCCCTCACTACCTTATTGTTAATCCTGGATTTCAAATCTCTGTTCATCTCTAAATATTATTATTACTAATACTAATACTGTTTGCGGCTGATGAAAGGCTGTGAAATAAAATGAACTCATTTTATTTAGCAAACGTCTTTGTTCTTGCACTGCCCAAACACTTTGAAATGGTAACAACAAATTTAGTAGATGATTCGCACGTTGATATTTCAGTCAATTTGGATAGACCTAGCTATCTGAAAGTTGTCCCAAAGGTTGTAAAGTCTTCATTCGGCCTAAACTAGAGAGGAATTATAGGTATGCAGAATGTGACAACTGTCTGATATTTCTGAATTTTCAAGGCTATTTGACTAAAATCGGTTTGCAATGAGAAAACAAGGTGTTAACAATTAAAAAAAATAAAATAATGACTCTTTTTTAGTTAAAACAAAACCCACATACGTTGACTGACACTTATTCTGACATTAATTATGCAGAAGAAAGGCATCAGTTGTTTAGAGATTTCGCAACCTACGTTTTACAACCGTAACCGTCCCCTTTTCACTCAGAAATTTATAATACCTTTGATATTCAAAAACATATTGTTTGGTGAAACACTCAAGAATTTTGAAGAGATGATAGTTTGTTGAAGGTAACTGGCACGAAGCCCTAGACCCAGGTTTTGTGCCTATTAGCACTTGTCACCGAGGCGTATCTGTAACCTTGAGGGAAATTATGTCCCCTGTAGCATTCGAACCCGTCATTTAGGATTGCAATCTAGGGCCTTACCATTGAACTATTCGAGTGGTAATTGACCTACGGAACTAGATTAGATACATTGACTGGTCACTGGAGGGTGATTGATCTCATGTTATCTAGTCTTGAGACCTAAATGAACTCTATCGATCATTTTTCAATCAATTTATCTAATTCAGCTTTGCGGGGGGGGGGGGGTCAGCTGCAACACGAATAGCTCAGTAGTAACGTCTTTGACTGCAACACTAGGCGACCCCAGTTCGAATCTCAGATGGGATAGCACTTCCCTCGGGATTGGGGATATGCATTGCTAACGAGTCCCAGCAAGCACAAAACCTAATTCGTGTAGGGCTTCCTGACAATTACCTCAAGCCAACTAACATCTATCCACATGTACCGCGATGTTGAGCCTTGTATCTTGGTGGCTGCATTGCAAAATGTTCCGTATAATTCGGTCAGCGCTCAGGACTAGACAACATCAAATTGGTCGCCCTCCAGTGACAAATAAATGTACTTTGAAGAGAAGCTGATTTAGTTATATCTAGCCACACTTTAAAGCTTCAGGATGATGATTTAACAGGAGTAACTAATAGATGTATGCATTTCTTAATAATGACTTTTAGGTTTCACTCCTAAGGATTCCTCAGTTTACCGGAAACAACGAAAGGCTGAAAAGCGATAGTGTTTATTCGTAATTCAAAGTGTATAAAATGTAACGGTGTATTTATGTTTTCAATGGGTTTGATACTTTCTAAACTGTTCTACAAAGACATTAAGTGTAATCCTATTAGCCAATTTGAAGGTCACATACGATGAAGTGGCTTTTCGTAAATGTTCGGTGTGTGATTACTAGTTCTGAAGGTCTTCAGAAGATTTCAAACCCCTTCGAGGGTTCAACAAGCGATGTTGTATTTCATAATAAGGGCATTTTATCTGAGAATTATCAAAAAAAATGTACAGCTTCCAGTCAAATATATCGTATATCAGCGTCACGTCACTTAACCCTCACTTATTATGGTAATCTAGACAGCTCGCTACTACAACATGCAAAACAAATGGTTAAAGTTACAAAGTGAGAGACTGGTTATATTAATTGGTTAATCCCTAAGGAAAACTAACTCATGATATGTTTATCTTGTCATTGTAAAATCTAAAACTTGTTTTTACCGCAGTTTAGGATACTAAACGCTGATTGGTCCATTTTACATTTTAAATATGCTATTTTGTTTTTCCTAGTCAAGGCCATCTAAGGATATATAAACGACTGAGTTTTCAGCTATCAGGATTCGGTTGGAATATATTTTCAATCCCATCGTCTTCTTTTGGTGTCAGCTGAATATCGAGTTGCGAAGTCATTGTTCTATCGTTGGTCGTATCACGTCGGAGCGTTGTATCATTATATATATATATATATATATATATATATATATATATATATATATATATATATATATATATATATATATATCACATATCAAAGTGGATAATATAAAAAGTCGTGCAATTAATTCGTCTACCTGGAGCATTTTCATACGAAGCACTCGTTCCTCTTCATCTTGTTCACTATATTTTTGCTTGATTTTTTTCAGTTTAGACTTTTGACCACGCTTCAAACTTTGTTGATTAGGTAACTGAATTTCTGTTGGTTTCTCACTTCTTTCCACGATTGCTTTATCCAAATTTGGTGTAATTATGATTTTCTTGTTCACTTTTGACTTGTCCACTTTTTGATTCTTTGTTTTACCTTTTTTTGGAAGAATTTCCGGTAAGATTTGTGATTCATCAGGATTATTTTGACCAAAGGAGTTGAGGGGTCTATAACAGAAACAGAAAGTGTATGATTTTTAGCAGCAACAGTAAAATATAACATAGAAAGAAAAGCTGTGTACATAAGAAAATGAAATGCATTATTCGTTTACAGTTCCTTTTGTTAGATAATGTGACATTTCATTGCTGAGAAGCTGACTTACTGAATTCAAACTTTAGATTCATGACAATCACGTCGATAGACTGTGGATTAGACTTTTGAGCAGAAATCCATTCAAATACCTCAATTAAATTCGCGGGTATGTTACCAACAAACATGAAAGTTCCTGATAAGGATTTCAATCAAAAGATCGATTTTTCTAAGGATACGACAATTTCAAACACAGATTAATTCTCTCTAGAGGTTTATGGAGGTTTATTAATTGATTTTAAGTTGGAATTCATCATGGACTGACATCAGTGGAAGGGACATTGTAAATCCGGGAGCACTAGACAGCTATTTCGTCCTGGTATGGGACTTCTCAGCAGTGCGCACCCGTGACCCCACCAAGGATCCAGCCCAGGATCAAGTAAGAAATGCAGACCATTTGATTCCAACCCAGTGGCTGAATGGCAACGTGCTGGCCACGGGACCTATAGGTTCTGGGTTCGATCCCTGGCGAAGTAATGGATGTGCACTGCTGAGGAGTCCCACACGAGAACGAAACAGTCGTACAGTGCTCGCGGGTTTCTAATGTTCCTTCAACTGATGTCAGCCCATGATGAATTCCAACCTAAGACAGAGAATGATTTCTAAGTTTGTATGCTAAACAATTTTCATGTACAAGAATGTCGCTCTTCTGAAATATTGGCTTTTCTTCGACTACTTATATCAATTCAGGTAATGTTGTTTTTATAAAAAACGAAACGCAATCAGTCACCTTGCGCACACCCATGCGGTAGGCAGTGAACCGTATCCATCCTTTGAGTGCTAGTTCATACTATCTACCCACCCAAACCTCGGTAGATAGAGTGAGGTTTGAAACAGGGACCCACTGGTTGATTGTCATCTGCCTAAACCATTGACTTACAGCTCCACAATGTAGTTTGAGGTTAATAGGGATTTTATTTTTAAGGTTGTATTCATCATAGATTGATATCAGTTGGGGAACCATTGACAACCTGAGAAGACTGGAAAGCTGTTTTGTCCTAGGATGAGACTTATTAGTAGCATGCACCCACGACCCCGCCCCACCAAGGATAAAACTCAGGACGTTCAGGTTTCACGGCGAACGCGTTAACCATTCACCCACTGGGTCGGAGTTCCGTGGTTCACAGTTTCCTACTTCTGTCAATTTGAAATATAGTCCGACTATCCACCAAGGTCTTTTAGTTGGTATCAGATGCACTTTCGACTAGCTGATCCAGCTGGTCATAGCATCGGAATAGTACTCCACGATATCTATCTCGAAGTATGTCACTAGTGAGCGCCATATGTTGACGCGCTCCAAAATAAAATGAAACACCTGTTCAGTGCTGCCAGGTATTCAATGGTCCCCTAACCGACATCAGCCTTTGATGAATACAACCTTAAAAATCACAGTTAATGCTTAAAACCTCATTTTAGAATTTTTTATTGTTCCAAATCACAACCAGTCATGTGACTTAAACGGTTAACAATGCAAGTTAAAAGTACATATTTCTTGAACTTGAAGGGTGTCTAGTGACCTAATGAATCCACTACATCTATCGCAAGTACGTTTCTTCCGTGACTTGGAAAGGTTCAAATAGCGCAATACTTATCACAACACTGACGTGAAAAACTGAAGTTGAAGTAAGAGTGAGATGAATACCACATCAGCATGTTTTATCCATTATTCTCAGCACCGCTGAAGATTGATGTGCCGTCTACCTGAAAAACGTTTGTATTTGTAACCAGGTATTTTACTTCCAGTCGCTTAGGGAATTAGACGTCTGCTGTGTCAGCCTGAAACAATCTGTATTTCCACTTCGGCATCATGGTTTGATGATGAAGTAATGTAGTCCTTATGCAAACTCTGTATAGCCCTTTATACAAGATGTACTGTCAATAAACTACTAATGAGATGAGCAGATGAAATTATGAGGATGAAGAGGTCGAAAAGACTCAATATTCATAAGCAATGTCCCATGAAGTTGAGAGAGGTCTTAGCCAACATTTTATATCACACTAAGTATAAGTATACCGAGTTTTTATTTACACTCTCCAGCGGGTCGACAGTTGGGATTAAATTTAGTTCAGTGAGAAATGGTCAGTCTGTTTACACCAGCCCATTTTATGACGACTTCGCCAACCATTGAAATACTAGGGTATATGCAGAAGACAATCTTTGAAATAATGGACGCAAACACAACTACACTTTAAAAGGTATGCAAAATACTAAATACCTGGAAAGATCCTTTGCTAAGTCAAGTTGAAGAGAAGCATTCGGGAATTCTGAAGTTTCGCCAGCAGTTTGAAGGCTAAGCGATTCTAGCTTACCAACTGGTGGTTCTAAAAAGGGCTTATCCAAAGTGATGATGCGACGTTCCCCGTTATGTTTAGCTATAGAATCTTCATGCAACTGAAATTATGAAAAGCATAAAAAGGACGGAAAAGATTTTTAGCTGTTAGATATTAGTGTGTTTTACACTAGACAAATTAGTCTGTCATAGTAACAGAATATCAAAAAATAGAAAGGATGGACAAAGGGTAGTAAAAAAGGTGATATGTCAGTTGGTGATGATTAAATTACCTCGGTATGAGGCAGCAAGTAAATTGGAAAAATCGACAGACAGTTGCACAGCCAAGAATACTAAGCAGATAACAAGCAGTTTGAGTTAAAGATAATACCATCCATCCAAGTGTACTAAGCAACCAAAAACACAGACAGATAGACAATATCAACGCAGAACGTCAGACACAGGTGCACTAGCTCAAGTTGCCACACTTCACAGTAGAATTCAAAGAACATATGGATAGAAAAAGAGTGACATCAAGGTAGACAAAGCTGTGTAAGAGAATAAACAATTCGAAGATATTCAAGCTGTAGAATATCTCAAGGAGTAAATATATCTGCGCCACTGTCACCGATTTCCAGCCATGTCAGCAAGACTCCTTAACCACTGGTTCCTTCCGTCCTGAGGATCCCAACCAGGTAGTTCACATCTCCCAACACGGCTTAAACCAACAGTCAAAGACTTCATCAATTGGTGCCACATCTTCGTCTGGCCACCCTGAACTCTCTTCCAAACCAATTCACCTTCCCCTAGCATGGCACGTCGACGTAGGTGGAGACTGGGCATACGCAGTAAATGTTCAAGTTATCGCAGTCGACTAAAGTTCACAATCTCATTAACTGACTCGCCTATCTCACCTATTATCCTTCGACTGACTTCAACATTGCTCACACTGTGATTCCCCCAAACGTAAGCCATGCTACGAAGACACCAGTGATCAAAACCTTGTAACCGCTACGTATATTCTAATTTCAACGGCCGTGTCTCACAGCCGTATAACAGGACAGGACAGACTGGAGAGAAGTATACACATCCTTTGATAGATAGATATCCCCAAGGCACTACAGATGATGCGAATTGGCCGCTAAATAACACATAGAAGACAACAACGCTTTGACCACTATCAACAGACAGGCGATGTTAAAGCACACTTCAATTTTCTATCAAAGGAGTCAAAAATAAAACGATAGCTAATATCTTATAGATTTGGTAATGAATGATTGATCTTGACAACCTTTTCATTCCTTCAGAAAGCTTCCTTCCCTGCTCAATTTCAAATGGTTATTATTTTACAACCAGTTATCATCTTGGCAACAACGGAAATAACCAATTAGACTTCCTTCTTTTATGAGAATTTGTCTTTCCAGACGAAATGAAGAAACCTAATTGGTTATTTCGATTGTTGCTAGGATAGGCTTTAAAGTCGCCCTAATTTTAACAACCGCCCTAACAACAACTGAGGTAGCCAATTAGGCTTACCCATAATTCAGCTAGAAAGGTAGTTTTTTTGCAAAATGAAAAAAATCTAATTTAGTTGTCTTAGTTAGGGTTAACTTCGCCTGGTTAACTAGTTAACTAGTTACTAGCCAGTCCTAAGCCCGGGTAAACAGGCAAGGTTGGGCATAGGGCCAGCAACCCTACCCCGTAAAACAAATCTAACCGCTAAAGAAACTTCACAGCACAAACGAAATATAAAAAATAATAAACTTATTCCTCACTGGAATCGGAGAGGCGAAATGACGCCAGTTGGTGAAAGCCTTCGGGAAGCCAATTGACCAGGCCGATGTGTCTTCTCTCCCTCAATGAAAGCGAAAGTAAACATAACGACATGGAATGTCCGCACGATGTTTGAACCCAGCAGGGCAGCCCAGATTGCAAACGAGATGAAGAGGTATCATACTGAAGTGCTTGGGATCTGCGAAAGCAGGTGGAATGGGAGTGGACTCTCCAAACTGTCAACTTAAGAGTCAATAATCTACTCCGATATTGTCACCCAGACGACAACCATGAGCACACTGAGTTCTCCAGTGGCTATCATGATGTCCCCAACAGCATGGAAGGCTCTCATGCAGTGGGAACCAATCTGTTCAACGATCAGGATCATGACAGCAAGGTTCAACTCAAAAGGAAGGAAGGTCACAATCATACAATGCTACAGTATGCACCTACAAATAATGCAGAGCAAGAGAAAAAGGAGGAATTCTACAGACAACTGCAATCAGCACTGGACAAGCCCCACCCAGTTGGCGACATCAAAATCCTAATGGGTAGGGCGACATGAATGCCAAACTGGGAGGGGACAACACAGGAAGAGAACTAACCATGGGTCAAGAGGCGCTCAGTGAGGTGATGAACGAGAATGGAGAACTGTTTGCAGACTTCTGCGCATTCAACAATTTGATGATTGGAGGCAGTGTGTTCAAGCACAAGGATATCCACAAAGTGACATGGATTTCACCAGACACACTAAAAATCGGACCGAATTCACCTCAATGTGAAGAAAGTTGAGACGCAGCCTACTTGACACAAGGTCAAGAAGAGGAGCAAGATGTAGGCTCAGACCACTCACTGTCTAGTGCAAGGAACCTTCAAAATCAGGTTGACTGCCTTCAAGGAAGTTGCCGATAGACCATAGTTCAACAGTCGGAAACTGAAGGATGAGACTACAAAGAAAATCTTCACCTCAGCCATCAAGACAAAATGGGAGACACCGAGCAACATCCCTGAAGAAACCAGTGTGCATGAGGACTGAAACTCTTTGAAAGAGATGTGGAAAGAAACCTGCATAACCGTATTAAGAAGGAAGCGGAAACAAGACAGGACGAGGAATAGATCTCGATGGACACATGGAAGCTGGTGGAGGAGGGAGCGGAAGATAGTGATATTGAAGCAAAAGATGAACGAGCGCAAGGATGCACGACGAGAAGAGGAACTGAGTACAATGTATAAAAAACTGGAAGAAGAAGTGAAGAAGGGTGCGCGGAAAGACAAAAGACAAATTGACAAGTGAAGCAGAACAGGCTGTTGGTAGGAGACACCTAACAACATCGTATCAAATAACCAGGTTACTATCTGGGAGTGAAGAGATCAACACAGATGAAACCAATAAAAGATGATGAAGGAAACCTAGTCATCACCAAAAAAGAGAAACAAAGGAAACGATGGGCTGACCACTTCAAAAGGCTTTTGAATCGACCACCACCTGCACTTCATCCAGAAATACCACCTGCAACCCAGCCACAGAACTACAAGTGAAAGCAAATCCTCCAACAAAAGTCGAAGTCCTCAACGCCATGAAGCCACTGTAATGCGGGAAAGCAGGAGGACCAGATGCAATCCCGCCAGAAGCACTGAGAGCAGACGCAGGGACAACGGCGGAAATGCATACACCACACCACTACTGCAGAAGGTATGGAAGGAAGTGAAGGTACCTACAGATTGGAAGACAGGCTACCTTTTCAAACTCCCGAAGAAGGGAGACCTAAGTCTTTGCAAGAACTGGCGCGGAATCACTCTCCTGTCCACTTCAAGCAAAATATTAAGCCGTATCATCCTGGAGAGATTAAAAGATGCACTGGATTCAAAATTGCGACCGGAATAACAAATAATATTTTTCTATTTTGGCTAGAAAAGTGGTTTTTTCATAAAGCAGACATGTCTAGTTGGTTATGTCAGCAGCTGTTAGGACAGCCTTTATAGTTACACTATAACATCATTCCAACCGTTAAAAACCAGAACAGAGAATACTGAGCTATTCAGTGAACTTCGTGTATCTGAGTTGCTATTCATGGAGATGTGACGGCTAAGATTTTCGGTCGATAGCATAAAAAATATGGAAAAAATTCGCACAACATGAGTCTAGTCGACGAAGGTTGGGTGTGCAGTGCATTGGTTCGGATATTTCTGCTCTAAATTCGTAAGACGACCTTTCTGAGTTAAGAATGTTTAACGAATCTACATGTTTCATTAGCACCCAGTAAGAACACCATGTAAGTAGTTCTGAGGTCCAGATGTGAGGGTTTGTATACGATGAAAATCGTCAATCATTGAGTGATTTCAACTTCAAATGCCAGCTTCAGTGGCTTGGACATTTGTCAAGAATATCGCACTAATATTCTCAATAGCCTTCACCGCTTGATGCCAACTTTACGACTAGTGGAAAGCAGAGACAGATAATTTATGATGTGCAGTCATGAGATGGAGGATAGTCATTTCGGGTTAAGAAATTTCCTCAGTTTCTTTCCTCTGTTGTCTACAGGGAAGAAGTAAACAACAAACGCTTCTTTGAAAGTATCCCATGAGATTGCTTGTCTGTTAATTCTGTGTCTTTTTTAACCTCTCCTGTTCTTTTATGTCCCTAAAATACTACATTATTCTGTAAGGCTCATTTTTTGTCAATAATAAGTTAACAGATACTAAATAACGTAGCTCTATGATTGTTATTCATCTGTTTATATTCTTAACTTAGTGGTTAGCATGCGCAGCTCTAACCAGAGTAACTAACCAATAGGTTCGACCAATGGTCCAACAACGCCAGCTTAAATCTAAGCATAGCTCCTTTTGGGGTTGTAGACAGCCTGAAGATTAATTTACCTAAAAACATCCTGCATAACACCCGCTAAACGTTTTCTTGTTGACAAGAAGAAAGACTTAGGATACAAACGGAGACCAGAATAACTGGTTAAAACTACCAATTTTTTTGACAAGTCAAACTGTTTGATATACTATAGTGGGTGCTACTGATAAGAGTGGATATAAGTAGTATATGTTAAGAGGTCCTCAGAAATCACAAACAATTACCAGCGATGGGTAAATATCCTGCCCAGAAGAACACAAGAGACAATCTGAGCGTATTAAGAGCAACTCGAGATAGAAACAGAAGAGTAAATGAAACACATTCTGTCCTGCGTCTTAATCTTGTCGTTTCTTACAATACTAATGGTAATAGCTTAAAATGCATATGCTTATATTCTTACCTTGAACATTATGCCAAATCCAAAATCAAAGGGACATGGTGGTAAATAGTTTTTCCTACCACGTATCATGAATGCACCTGTTGTTAAGTATTCACCACTGGGAGCTGTTTTCGACACTTGATCGTGATAAACCCACCAAGCTCTTGTGAGAACATGACTTTGCCATGCAGAACTTAGTACCACAGCCATATTGCCAGCTTCCAATAAGGTTTTTGGAGGAGGTAATGGTATACTATTATTTTGGTGCGCTGAATCATCTGAATTTAAGAAATTATTCAAAGAGAATAGATTAATTACTAACCAAAGGGAATGGGTGGAACTACAACAACAAAAAAAAGTATGCGACAAAAAGAAACGTTATAATGGAATCGAAGACAACTACAAAACCAAAAATATTTTTGGGCACAAGCTGAAACCTGTAACTTGAATATAAAATGATAAGAAATCAAAATTATGTTGTGATAAACATAGTTAAATTTTAACTGAGGATACTTACCAATGTTTGAAAATTTCAGTGATAAAGGAACGAAAAGATCACGCGACTGAGGATGTTGCGACAGGTGAATCTATGACTGACTTTTATCATATATGGCACCGGTGAAACATTCAACCACCTACTAAAAGTCGAGTGTATGACGCAGCAGTTTGCTTTTTTTTTTATTTATTAAGAATCTACCACACAGCTGTGAAACATAGACCTTGAAGGTGAAATGGATGAGATTACTTCAGAAGTTCGACCACAAATGCCTTTGTAGCACTAGGCGTTTGTTGTGGAACTACAGCTTAATTGCAGATTTAGATAAAAGGTAAGTCAGTTGATGAGGTTGTGAACCTACATTGACAAAGATGGTCGATGTATGATTTTAGGAAAAGTGGGTTTAGGGTGGTGAAGGGTTAAAAGCATCCAGACTAAAACGTGACATGTATGCATGAGGTCGCTCATTCTTAATTTAAGCCATGGTTCAGAGACTTGGCGCGTTACGAAAGGCATTTCCAATAAACTACAGATATTCATCAACAACTGCTTACGCTCGCTACTGAAGATCAGATGGCCAGAAAGAATAAGCAACAAGGAACTCTGGCTAGCTGGCAACGAACCAACCAAGAACCTATCACCCAACAAATATGCAGGAGGAAGTGGAGATGGATTGGCCATGCACTGAGAAGGCCGACTGAGGACATCACGCATCAGGCCAGTTGCTCGAGTGGAATCCCCATGGGAAGCCACGAGTTGGGCGTCCGAGGTGAGGGTGACATGGAGGAGGTCGTGCGAGGAGGAAATGAGAGCTTGTGGGCTGTCGTGGAGCCAGGTTCAAAAGATCTCAGAGAACAGAGGTCACTGGAGGCGTGCTACTGAAGCCCTATGTTCCACTAGGAACCCAAGGGACTAATAATAATAATAATAATAATAATAATAATAATAATAATAATAATAGGCATTCTAGTCAAACTTTGCACGACAACGGAAATCGGTGATTAGAGAGTATAGTTGATATGGCTTAGGATTGATCACCGTAACACAAATAAATCCCACGCGTTATCTTCACTCTAATTTCTATTTCACGTACGATTATTTGTTTAAACCCCCTCTCTTCCTTTCTTCTTATAACTTTCGTTTACATTCTCTTTTTCTGATTCTCTAGCATTTATCCTAATGTGCAGATAAGAGTGTTATGCAGAGAAGTCCCATGATGATATTGACTGACTGAGATCTTATATAATATGACTCGAAATAAAGGCTAGTTGTAACCGTGCACGAGTTTGACTCTGTCTTCTATCTCAGTAGTAACATAATCGATAATAGGTCAAGAAAGCTTCTACTATACGACTAATTTTCCCTTGACAATTCATTTATTATCATCTTTTCACACGACATCATGATGATGGCATATTATGTTTAGTAGTCATATTGGTGCCTATGCCGAGTAAAGTTTTATTACAAAAATAAATAAGTGATTTTGTTAAATCATAGCAGTGAAAGTAATTGGAATAGAAAATTGACTTTTAACATATGAGATCTGACTTGAAATGAACCATTTGATTACCATAATTTCATCAGCATAAACTTGTTGGGGGGGTGGGGGTGAAAAAGGAGTTTAAAATTACTGTTCACATCAATTGGATTACAATATATTTATTCTACAGATGTAAAAGAGATTATCTTGTTAATCAAATATACCAATGAAAATGAAAATCGATATTTTGATGGGTCATATTTGATTAAGGAATTAATAAGTTACTCTTAGGCGGCCGCCTGTCGTATTACCTGACTGGGTAGATTAGTTAATTAGGAAATGACACCAAATATTAGGGCGATAAGACCATAGAAATATACACTATAGATGCATAATACTTGGCTTGTTTCTGGGTTTACTTCTCCGAACAAAACAAAAAAAGAGAATATACGTAGAAAATTATAATCCATACCATAGGAGTAAAAATTGAGCACTGTGATCGATTGTAATTCCATTTTAGTCTGTTTATTAGAAATGCTACATGGTGAAACAGTATCATTTACTGGATAATGTTTCGGATATAATTTATTGTTTATGTTTATATCAGGTGGGTAATTGAACAATCACTTTCAGATTCCATCTTTGGCAATCGCTCAGGTTCTTTGTAGGTAAACAGGACAGTAAGATAACATAAGTTAACGGGAACGCTAAACTATGTATAAAATACAACAATTTATACATAGTTGGAATGCCTTTGATCATTTTCAGGGCTTTCTAGAAAGATATTACTTATTGATTCTGCCTCTTCAACCAATTTGATTTTTTTACACGCATCATCACCTGACTTTCCTTGAAACTTTGATGTGGAATAATTAGTTATGAAAGGCTATAGGGATTGAGGACTTTTTACGGCACACTTCAACAAAAACGATCCTCTATTCTTTTATGGAAAACTGATAAACCGGTTAATGATATCATCATCAAGATCAACATAAGACCAGATATAACTGTATAACGGTCCAAGTTGCCATACCTCACATCGGCACATCAAGTAACAAGGCAGTAAAATGGAAGATGAAGAAAGAAATTGGCCAAAGGAAGTAGAAGTAGAAAGTAGTAAGGAAGAAGAAGGAAGGATGAGAAGATAATGATATTAATTATAGTGGTTAATGTGAGGATAATGCGTAAATGCATCTGCGTCAATGACATCGGTTCTCAGTTATATCAATTAAAGTCTCCAACTACTGATTTCTCTTGTCCTATGGACCCTAACCGGCTAGTCTGCATCGCCCTACATGGCTCAAACCAACAGTCAACGACTTGATATGTTGATGCCATTTTTTAGTCTGGTCACCTCAAGCCTTTTTCCAGCCTGAACCTACTTCGACTAACATTATGTGACAAGGCAGATGATGGCTAGGCATACGTAACACATGGTATACAGTAGTCTGATTTGATTATGAGATTAACGAATGCAAATAAGCAAAAGAAGTTCTTTTTGTGAATATATATATACATATATATTCGATGTTACGGTTACAAATTCAACATCCACGTAAACAATGTAAAATACAAAAGGAGTGTTCATCTCACCTAGATACGTTGATGAATTTATTTCTTCAGAAGTTAGATGTCTAGCTTTCACTATCACAGTACTGGCACCATGCATATCTGCATGAACAAATAAATCACCAGGTTTTAAGTAACGCTTTACTAATACCTCATTTTGTTGTGAATCACGACCGGCAACAACTAAATAATTTTCTGAACTGATGAACCAAAAGAACTTTTCAAACCTTGGAGAAGAAACAGATAAACAAAGTGAAAAAAACGTTTTACCAACCATAGGTAATACCAAAAAGATATATTGTTACATTTTAACGAGGTAGAAAAGTGCCTTTTGAAGAGTTTCATAACCTCGTGTTTTAATAGTAAAGGGAAGAAATCAGATAACATTTTTCACCTGTGCATAAATGAAACTTAAAGGAAGTAGCCTCTTTCACCTATCTAGGCAGCACTGTTCCAACTACAGGCGGCACAGACGAAGATGTCAAAACCAGCCAGAATCGGAAATACAGCAAGATAGGCGTTCATTAGCCTGGAACCAGTGTGGAGATCTTCTGCACTCAGCACAAAGCGTGAACAACATCCGTATTTTCAAAACCAACATCAAGTCACTGCTTCTATGTGATGGTTGAGAGACTTGGCGCGTTTCGAAAGGCATTTCCAACAAACTACAGACATTTATTTATCAACAACTGCCTACGCTAGCTGGTTACTGAAAGTCAGATAAGTTGTCAGAATGGCACCAGCCAGGCACCCGAGTGGAACCCCGATGGGAAGCGACGAGTTGGGCATCCGAGGGTGACACGGAGGAGATCGTGTGAGGAAGAAATCAGAGGTTCTGGGCTGTCGTGGAACCAGGTTCAAAAGATTTCACAGAATAGAGTGCACTGGAGACGTGCTAGTGAAGCCTATGCTCCACTGGGAACCCAAGGGACAAACAAATACAGTATGAGTAATATAATGTATAAATGAAGTCGGTTATAAAGAAACTGATAACCTTGTTATCTATGAATATATCCAAACGGAATCTTGAATGATAGTCTTAAGCTTCATCCTTGAGGGTCGTTCGGTCCCTCGAAAACAGACAGAAGTGCCAAAAACGATAAAAGATTTACTGTCAAGTTGAAAATATACAAAAAGCAACAGTCTATATATCTTCCCAATAGCCTTGATAAATTTCATACTTTTCTAGAAAGCGCTTTAACCAATATGAGACCCACACATATGATCATATAGTTTTTTCTTGGACATCAAGAAATTGCTAACTTCTTTGAGAAATCTAGGAGATATTGTCCCAATTTGTAACAAAAACATGAGAGATATGATATACTAGCTCTTGTATTTCTGATTTCATGAATATCAGTGAATTTCTGCTTGATTACGGACCGGAATTATAGTCTACACTGGTTGATCAAAGTGAAAATACATCTTTTGAAGTCAATGAGATTTTACTATGCTGAATGATTTCAAAAATCTTTGAATGAATAGAGAAACTTCATTACAAAACATGGATAATAATATACAGATGACGCGTACAGAAGGACATGGTAAACATGAGTTCCAGTGAATAGAAAAGAGAAAGGAGAAACAATGAATAAAGTAAACAATGAGGTACATAAATAAAAGAGAAAGACTTGGAAAATTCCTGTAAGCAAAATCATAAGAAAAAGTAAAACAAGATAAGCTACTGTTAAAACTTCAATAATTCGATACAAACATATTTTGCACAACTAATTAAGACAAAGAATATACTTTTATGAAGAAATCTTATATACAGAGTCTTGTTAACATTGAAACCCAGAGTTCATTGAATTCCAATTTATATCAAATGCTCCACTCAGGTCTGTTTAATGCATAACTTTCAAATTTTCGACAATAGTCACAGATCTATTAAAATAGTAATACAAATCTCCTGATCCACTTCTTCTGAAGAAGGTATACAAATTTCGTGGTTCGAAATTAACCTAAATTAATTAGTAATTTCAAGAAATAAGTAATATTTTTTCTGTGGTACGAACACTTTGAGTGGGAATTTGAGAATTGCTTGGGATGCGTTTCTCACTACCCAAATGTTAATTGTTGCTCCAGGATTGGTCTTTAACGGTGCCACAGCTAACAATAGAGAGTGAAGTGGTTGAGTGTGTTGACCACTTCACTTACCTGGGATATGAGATCAGCCCTGATGGCTCAGTGGCCGATGAAATCTCCGCATGCATGCAAAAGGCTCGGTTGGCTTTTGCCAATTTACACCACCTATGGCGCCGCCGTGATATCCAATTGTCTACTAACGGTCGCGTATACTGCACAGCAGTCCAGTCTGTTACACTCTATGGCTGTGAAACATGGCCATTAAACGTGGAAGATATGAGAAGGCTTCACGTGTTTCACCGTATTCCGTGATGTCACCACGTGAGTAATGCAGAAGTCAGGTATAGAGTTTTAGGGAGAAGAAGTAAGTAAGTCAGTTGACGAGGTTGTGAACCTTCATCGACTCAGATGGTTGGGACACGTGTTACGTATGCCTAGTCACTGATTGCCTCGTCACACAATGTTGACTGAAGTAGGTCCAGACTGAGAAAAGGCCAGAGGTGGCCAGGTTAAAACATGGCACCAATGTATGAAGTCTCTGACTGTTGGTTTGAGGCATGTGGGGGCGATGCAGACTAGGTGGTTGGGGTCCACGAGACAAGAGGAACCTGTGGTTGGCGACTGACTCTAGGTGATATGGCTCACAACCGAAGTCAGTGCCGCAGATGTATACATACATTATCCTCATCTTAATGATGCTATAACCAATCTCACCACTTTCTCATTCTTCCTTTCTCTCTTTTCGTAATCCATATTTCTTTTGACTGCATTCTCTTATCTTCATCCTTCACCTCACTGCCTTTTTACTTGATGTAGTGATATGAGATGAGGTGTGGCAACTCGGACCATTACGCAGTAATTCCTAGTCCTAGGTTGATCTGGATGAATGGATTTGGTACGAAATATAATACATGACAAAAAAACATTTTCCGGAAGTGTGACTGAACACAACCATTCAACATTGGTTTTGAAGGTTCTATATTATGTCGAATTGTAATACAATCAGTAATGTAAGGTGTTCATCTGAGTAAACAACAAACATTTACTTGCTTTCGCACAGTGCTTTGAAAAGGAAGTAAGATTATCACATTGTGAATTCTTGTCACCGTGATGGCAAAAACAATGTACAGCCTAAGAATAAATTCCTTGAAAAGAGTCTCCTTTGCTGAATATCTTATTTGTAAATTCATGCTTATCTCATTAAAACTAACTTGGAGAACCTAAACTAAGAGTGCTTTTAAAGCTCAGTCGACTTTTTGCTGTGGAATTGATTACTAGTATTTTGAGTTATATTGTTTTAGCTGAAGTCACTTTAAGTGAAGATAATTCTGTCGAATTTGACGTCTCTCATAGCTGAGTAGTTTCTCAACTGCCCGACTATGGTATTAGTTGGGTTTCTGTTGGATACCACTCATTCAAGATCAGAAATTATGATCTCTGATGCAAAACTGCTAAGAACTATTTAAGGCATATTGGTCTAAAACGAGTGAAACGGATGTCTAGTGTTTAGGTTACTTCAATCTAGCTGATGCAATACATTTACTAGGTTATCAGATAAAGTTGGTGCCAGTTTTATGCTCACTACAGACAAACTTTGCTACAGTTCAGTGTCTCCTATTGGCCTGTATGTTTTCTTGCCATGTATAAGGAGACATTGAGTTCTCCACATCAGTGAGCAGTGATCGCATAAATCCATTCATAGTCAACCGATGTAGCTTATTGAATGTCGGACAAAGCAAAGAATTAGACGCATAAACATAAAATCAAAATTCGCTTAAGAGCTTATCAATTCACGTCGGTAACCTAAACAATTGTAACTGATATAACAGTTGTACTATAGGTTAGAAGTTAAAAATTCTCGCCTAGAAGAGACGGGAACAAATAGAACAAGGTGTATAGTATGGAACTGATGATACCATCCTAATCCTGGTTAGCGATTTCTAGTAGAATGCCTTGAAGAGATTCAATCAAAAAGAGATAAGGTTAGAGCGAATAAAAGTGCAGACTTGTTTTTGTTGATTAAGGTTTCTTGGATGGTTATTGACCTTAATATAACCCATGACTAACGATTTGTTACTCGAAAGTTAGCTGTTAGTTATTCTACCTTAGTTATATTATTGTATATCAGTAGTTGTCCTAATTCATTGGACTTTCATAGTCTATTGTCCTTGTTCTACAGTTCAGGAGTTCAGAGAAATAAATGTATATAGTTAATGAGCTTGCAATCAGACCTTTGAATTTGATGCAATTTAATGGATAATTCACCTAGACATAAATTCAACACAATCGCCTACACATATAAATCATTTACACCTGTAACGGGTAACTACTAGTTAATGCTTTAAAGCAGTTGACGTATTCGAGCATGGAAGTAAGTTAGTGGTCGAACTTAACAGTATATCATTTAAGAAGCAACTAAAACAAAGTTAATGAAAGGAAGCGACATGCTATCTGACCCACTCTATTGATTAGTGCATACAGATGAAATACTGACAGAAGAATTATGAGAAAAGAAATATACCTAACTGATACAAGTTAATCAGTATTGAAGTGCAACCTAGTATTACTATGTAACAGTTCGAGTCACCACATCTTATATCAGCACACCAAAGTAGAAGGCATCATGATGGAAGATAAATAAATAAAGAAAGTTGTTAAGGGTGTTAGGTAGTTCCAAAAAGAGAACGAGAAGCATTGGAACAAAATGAAATTCAATACGATGGTTAAGTTGAAGATAGTGTATGAATGCATTTGCGCCACTGACATCATTTCTCAGCTATATCATCACCTACAGTCTCCAACCCGTGATTTTTGTTATCACACAGACCCTGAATGGGAAGTCTACGTTTACATACACGGCTCAGAACAATAGTCAAAGACTTCATGCACTGATGTTATGTTTTCGTCTTGTCGCTTATAACCTTCCAGCAGCTCAAAACCACTTCAACTAACATTGTACGCAAGACTGGGTAGACGGTAAGCAGGCTTGCGTAACACGGACCCCAGCTACCTGAGCTTATGAAGGTTCACAACCTCATCAACTGACTTTCCTCGCCTACCAAAAACCCCACGTCGAACTTATGCGTTACTCACGTGGTGACACCACAACACAAGATATGTGCTAAAAGGGCGACGGTGGTCCAACACTTGAAACCTCCTCATGTCCTCTACCTTTATTGGATATGCTTTACAGTCAGCCATACAGTAGAACAGAGTGAACTGCATTTCACCTGCATTAGGGAATGAGATATCACGGTGGTGCAACATATGGCGTAAGTTGGCAAAGAGCAAGTGAGCTTTTTTTCTCCGTTCCCAGATGTCATCAGTCACTGACCAATCACGGTTGATCCGACTTCCAAGTAAGTGAAGTGATCAATGCGTTCACCCTTTTCACTTCTTATTATTAGACAAGGCATTAACGAAGACTAGACCTGGAGCAACAATTTGCATTTAAGTGATAAAAAATGCATCACATTCTTGAATTACTACTCGAGATTTCCGACGGGCTCTGTATCTTATTAGAGTTTTTACATAAAAGGAATATTTCACCTGCGTACTTCTGTAACGCCAATCCCTAGAAAATTAGACCAAAAGACGATCTATATAAGCACGTCCGTGACTAAATCAAATAAGAATGAAAAGAGTGGACGTCCTTGACGAACACAACTCACCTGATAACTCACCATAGGCTCTAGCGTGCCTACGGGGGTTTGAATACAAAGACTTCAACAGTTGGTTTACTTACCAAACACACCTTTTAGTGAGAGATACTGCTATGAAACCTATTGTTCGACGGAGTCAAATACCACTTTCACGTTAAGAAATATAGCTAATATTGGGCACTAGTAAGTTAGCCTGTGTTCTAAAACCTAGTGGAGGATGAGTATCTGGTCGATACACTCATGATCACGTCTGAAACTTGACTACTTTTCTCTAGTTGGCTTTTTCACTGTTTTCAATACCAATCTAACGACTACAGAAGCTCAGGAAAAGCACACAAGTCGCTGAATAAAGAGTATTTTGTATTCAGTAAACATGAATGTGCTCAAATCACACCCAAACCTGCTTGGCTTAGATAGTCCACTTTAAATACAAGAGACCTGGCTGATAGTATATATCGTTACTATGGATTAAAGACATACCACATTGGTTTACGAACTTCTGTAATTTGTGCTACTGTTTTGGCAGTCTTCATTGTTATTTCAGCTTTGTGTGTAGCTGACTTCAAAACCTATCGTCAAAAATGCAAAGAAAATGATCATCACACAAATAAAAGTAGAGCAGGTTACAAGATTTAAAAGTGTTGTAATGCGGGTGACATGTTGAGGAAAATAGTTTTATGAAAGTATGTGCATACTATGATCCATTACTTGTCATTGTACCATCTAAGTTAAACTAGTTTTGATTTCAAAAGTGCATTATATTGGGTGATTTTAAAGGCCACCCTAGCAACTGAGACAGCCAATAACATTCCTTTATTTTATGTAAAAGTACTTTTTGTTATGGCTATGATTACGACTGTACAGTTTTTGAAAGTGATTCATCGAAAGGAAAACTTCCTTCGTTGAATTATTATTATTTGTCCCTTGGGTTCGTAGTCGAACGCAAGGATTCAGTAGCACGTCTCCATAACACTCTCTTATCTGTAGTCTTCTCAACCTGGCTCCATGACTGTTCACAAGATCTCATTTCTTCCTCATACGATCTCCTTCATGTCACCCTCGCCTCCGACGCCCAACTCGTCGTTCCCATCGGGGTTCCACTCGATACCCTGGCTTGGCCAGGCGCGTGATGTCCCCAAATGGTCTTCTCAGTGTATGCCCAATCCATCTCCACCTCCTTCTACATATTTGTTGAGTGATTGGTTCTTGGTTGGTTCGTTCCCAGAGCTCCTTATTGCTTATTCTTTCTGACAATCCATCTGACTTTCAGTAACGAGCCAGCGTAAGCAGTTGATGAATATCTGTAGTTTATTGGAAATCCCTTTCGTAACCCACCAAGTCTCTCAACCATCACAGAGAAGCACTGACTTGACTGAATCAGTGTTGAAAATACTGATCTTGTTCCACATGCTGAGTGCAGAAGATCTCTACACTGGTTTCAGGCTAATGAACGCCTGTCTTGCTCTTCCGATCCTGGCTGCTTTGACCTCCTCGTCTGTGCCGCCTGTAGTTGAAACAGTGCTTCCTAGATAGGTGAAGGAGGCTTCTTCCTTTAGGTTTCTCCTGTTGATGGTGATTAGAGCTTGTTGTTGTTGGTGGCGTTGGTTGGGTATCTTCATCACCTCTGTCTTCTCTACGTTCACTTGAAGTCCGGTCTTCGCTGCCACGCCTCTTCTGTCAACTTGTTGGATTTTGCCTGTAGATCTTCGAGTTTGTGCGACAAGAGATTAGATACAAGTCATCGGCTAAATCCAAATCTTCTAGGCTCTTTTCATCGATACGGCCAGCGTATCCCCCCCTTCTCGCTCCTCACTGTTTTCTGTTGCATGATACAGTCCACCATAGTCAGGAAGGTGATCGGTGCTAGTAGACAGACTTGTCTTACTCCTGTCTTCACTTCAAAGGCATCACTGAGTTTCCCACTGTGAATTACTTGGCATGTGGCGCCTTCATATAGTTGTTGAATGAGATTGATAAAGGTTTGTGGTATTCCGTAGCGTTGAAGCAGTTGCCAAATTACTTCTCGGTCGATGTTGTCGAAGGCCTTTTCAAAGTCGATGAAGTTGAGGTTGAGTTGAGTTGACTGCCATTCTATACTCTGTTCTATCTTCGCTGAATTGTCTTACGTTACTTCTTCATTATCCAGTGGGACTATTTCAATGACTGCCATAATACTTTAAGATCAACAGATTTTAAAATGTTATCTTCATGTGGTGACTACTGTTGGAGAGAAGCAGGAAAATATACTTGCAACAAGGGTTTAGCAGAAGATGAAGACTGATTTAGCACACCCTCAAGACAACTGAAATTTCGACAATTTTATTGGTTTTGAATTTCTTAAGCACTTATTACGAATAAAATGAACAGTAGTTTTAAAAAACCCGTGGATATCACAGACAGATATCTTTTTAGAAACATTAAGTGGCGCAGTTTATGAGAAGTGAATATGAAAATTACAGTGAGAATAAAATCTTAGTCACTCTAACTAGTAAATTCTTGTCACCTTTCTACTCAGTGAACTAAAAGCAATTGTTTGTTAGTTAATTTATATAGTTTAAAGTTTGAAGGGACGACCAAATGAGCATTTAGATTCAAGCTGAACAGTAGACAGAAGAGCGATCTCAATTTGGAGGTTTGTTGTTACTCATTTATTGATTTTCAGGTTAGTATTCATCATGGAATAACATTAGTTGGAGAACCACTGGAAGCTTGGGAGCAATGGACAAGTGTGTTGTCCTAGTATGGAACTCCACAGAAGTGTGTGCCTACTAGTACCCCCCACCAGGGATCAAACCCGTAACCTTCAGGTTCTGCGGCCAGCACTTTACGAGTGATTCAGTCTGTGATAAATATCAACTTGAGTAGAGTGACTCGATTTTGAAGTTCACTATAACTGCATTTCTAAGCATGATGCTCATCTTTCACGTCACCCACTCTTAAACTATAAACGAATTGGTTTTGGTTGTAGTGTTATTCACTAACATCATTTTGAAATTGGTCTCCTTATTATAAGTGATTTCTACTAGTCTATTGTACTTTGATCTATTCCCTCTTATATTGAAGAATATACATACAATGTGGAGAAATGAGTCCAGACTTCAAATTCCCTTACAACAGAAGATTAGGATATTGTACTTCATTGAATAATATACCACTAACTAATATCCAAAGACACAGTTTGTGTTTGGTACGGTGTAAAATAGTGATAAGCAATACGAAAACTGAAGATATGTAAATAAATGTTTCATTACTTTACGTGAAGCATTGATAGTTTTTTCTTCTTTCTTGCTAGCAGCCCTCTTCTTATCATAATATCTATAAAACAAATAAAGAGATTGTAAATTTCAATTAAATGATAACAACTAACGAATTTATAGAAACAGAACTATGTTTCTATGCAATGTATCGAATACATAATAATGATGAATAGTGGCTAGCAATGGAATCCAAGATGCGCGTTCCATCCCATTTGGGACTCGTCAACTAGATATACGTGTACCCTAGTAAGTGTTATTTTCACCGCGGCTCGAACTCGGGGCTGATAGCTTCAAACAACAGAGTACCATCCATTAGACCATCAAGCCAAATCTTATGCAACAGGTATAATGTTCAAACAAGAAATTGAATTCAAGTTGAGAATATTTAAAGGGTTATATATGTTGACCGACTTTTATAATATTCATATTCAAGCCATACTATGAGTGTGAACAATGGAGAACCATACAAAGTGAGACAATAACTAGAAGATATGAGAGACCAAATATAATAATTATATCAATACAACGAGATGTCCAAATAAAAGAATTCAGTGAAGCAAAATTCATTCCTTTTTAATACTCTTTTCAAACTTTTATAATATTGGCCAAAGAAAGGCAAATATGAATCTCAGATAAGTATTATCCATCACTTAATATAGGAGTACAACTTAGGGAGTGGTAGATTTTCATTCTACTTTCAGTTTGTTTACTAGATATGTTACACAGTGAAATACTGGTATTAACTGGATAGCATCATAATCATAAATGTCAACATAGGACCAGGAATTACTGAGTAACGGTCCGAGTTGCCACACCTCATCTCATATCACTACATCAAGTAAAAAGGCAGTGAGGTGAAGGATGAAGATAAGAGAATGCAGTCAAAAGAAATATGGATTACGAAAAGAGAGAAAGGAAGAATAAGAAAGTGGTGAGATTGGGTATAGCATCATTAAGATGAGGATAATGTATGTATACATCTGCGGCACTGACATCGGTTGTGAGCCATATCACCTAGAGTCAGTCGCCAACCACAGGTTCCTCTTGTCTCGTGGACCCCAACCACCTAGTCTGCATCGCCCCCACATGCCTCAAACCAACAGTCAGAGACTTCATACATTGGTGCCATGTTTTAACCTGGCCACCTCTGGCCTTTTCTCAGTCTGGACCTACTTCAGTCAACATTGTGTGACGAGGCAATCAGTGACTAGGCATACGTAACACGTGTCCCAACCATCTGAGTCGATGAAGGTTCACAACCTCGTCAACTGACTAACTTACCTCTTCCCCCTAAAACTCTATACCTGACTTCTGCATTACTCACATGGTGACATCACGGAATACGGTCGAACACGTGAAGCCTTCTCATATCTTCCACGTTTAATGGCCATGTTTCACAGCCATAGAGTGTAACAGACTGGACTGCTGTGCAGTATACGCGACCGTTAGTAGACAATTGGATATCACGGCGGCGCCATAGCCAACCGAGCCTTTTGTAGGCGTGCGTTTTGAAAACAATTTATTGTTTATATTTATATCAAGTTGGCGATATTTTTGAAAATGTGCGAGAGTACGTTTTATGATTTATCAACATTTGAATAATTAAAACAAGTAAAAAAAGGAGTAATTTTAATGTAGGATAGAAGACTTTTAGTAGCTAAAAATTTTAACCAGTTCACCGTCAAATAAATAAATATTCTTCAATCATAAAAAAAAATTCACCATATCATAAAGACAATGAATAGTTCAACTCACTTTCGAGCATTATTTAGAGCATTTAAATCAAGATCTACAATTACTTCTATGTAGTCTTCATTTTTAGTTGATTCAACTAGATTTTCATTATCACTTGATAATTCAAATGGATCACTATAATAGCAATACAAGAAATTATATTAGACTGGTAAGATACCGAAAACAAAGCGATAAGCAATTACTTTAAACGAATAATAGCTTGATTCGATTGTAATTTTAGTTCTACAATATGACAAGCTAATGGATCATCATGTTTCTTTGCTTCTTCAATGATTGTTTTCAATTCGTTCCAATTCAATTGATTATATAATGCATGATTAAGCATGATAATGATATTGTCCACCTGAAAATAGTAAAAATAGGAGAAATACTAAGCAACCAAAAAAAAACAGAAGATAATTCGAAGTAATAGGGGGAAAAGAATTCCATTTTAGTTTGTTTATTAGAAATATCATACAGTGAGAGAACAGTAGCATTTACTAGATAACGTTTCGGACACAATTTATTGTCCATATTCATATCAGGTAACTCCACAACTTCCAGACAGTCTTTATATATTCCTAATTTACTCTCCTTCTTTGTGACAACAAGGCTAGTGGGGTCGTGGGTGCGCACTGCTGAGGAGTCGCATACTAGGACGAAACAGCTGTCCAGTGCTCCCAGGTTTCCTTTGTTCCTCCAACTGATGTCAGTCTACGATGAATAACAACTTGAAGGCTAGTAGAGTTTTTCATATATCTGGGACAGGTGCAGAATCATTTCGATTGCATGTGTTTGGTGTTGATTCGATGAATGCAGATTCGCTCCACCCAACTAAGTTAGTTTTCAACACTGTCGCCCTATCCCACCCTATTGTGTGATTGTATGTCTTCGCATGCACAGCCATAGTTGGGTTTTTCGCTAGATTTCTTATCTTATTAGGATCTACAAATCTTGATTTAGCTAAGTTTTTGTGCTCTGTTATTCTTATCGACCCTGGTCGATTGTTTTGACGTATGTACTTGACCTTACAGTTATTGCAAGGATTTGGTAAACCGTTATCCAGTATATGCTACTGTTTCACTGTGTGATATTTCTAATAAACAAACTAAAATGGAATTTCAATCGACCACAGTACCCAATTTTTACTCTTATATTAGAGGGAAAAGAAATTTTCATCAGTTAGCAACTATCAGAATAAAATAAACTTTTATGATTGAAACTTACAAGTTGATGATTAGCTTCTAACAGATAAGCTTTCTGCATATCTAATTCCTGTATATGAGAGAAAAACAAAGAAAATTACTGTTTCTTTAAGTTGTCTTTTGACTAGGAATAAATTAATTGATGCAAAATCACAACAGATGGTATGCATCGTATAGAAGCGCAGGCTTATATACTAGTTGGAAGGAATTGACTACCTTCCCTATCATAACATCAACTGACTATTTATTGTATGATGTTTGTGTCACACATTTTACCTGGTGTGCTATAGCCCTTTGATTAAGGTAGTTAAATTCAAACTAATTGGTCATAGATTTAAACTCTACCGTAATCGAGATAGTTTGAACAGTCCAATAGCATACACAATAGGTGTAGCTCAAGGTCTACTTCTACATGGACCTGCATGTGGTTGGATTACTAATATTTACTTAGTCGTATCTTTCGTACATGAGTGATAGTTTATTTCATGACAATATCCACACATACTACAACCTGTAATTGGAGGTTCTGGTATCATAAAATAGCCATTCACCTGAGGTTGGAGACAATGTTTAGATGCAGTGGGCAGATATCTCTGTTTGTTTACTCCAGTCTATTGTTCATTCGGTTTGACGTTCAGCATTCCAGTATACGTAGTTATTTATAACATTCAGTGTTATTGCTTGTATTACACCGTCCTTGATTGGACCGAATTGATCAGTTTCTATTGGCGTATGGGCTCCTGTGCGGATGCCTCGATATTACCTGTCTTTTAACTATGTATAGTAATGACGGGCAGTGGCTGGCAGTGGAATCCAGGATGCTCATTTCGTCCTATTTGGGACTCGTCAGCTGGATGTACCTGCCTCCCAGTGAGTGATGTTGTTCCGACCGGGACTCGGGAGCGGTCGCTTCAAACATTACATTATTACAACTGCTTTTTCTCAGTTGTAAGAGAGGTAATGATATTAACCAAGAGATAATTCGGGTAGTTACCATGTAAGTCACAGCGATCATTGTGTAACAATAAAAGCATCACACTGAACAGGTAAGATATTTACGAAGCACACGTTAAGCAAACAATGAACATCTCACAGCTAGAAAGGTTTGATTGATTAGAAAGATAAGGTAACTCAATATAGTATAGACTAATGTACTAGGTTATAAATCACGCTGAATGAGTGGGAGTTTATAATACTCTCTGTCTTTCCAGGTTGGAGTGGGATTTGAACCGAAGACGGAACGTTTGAGAGTCAAGTGTCTACGCTAATGATTCATATCATCCGAAGAAAAAATTCTGACTGCTGATAATCATATGCTAGAAAAACTTACCTGTTCACTTCTTAATGCCATTAATCGACGTTCTTGATCCTTTTTAATATTTTCTACTTTTCTGTTGGCTTTCAGCTCCTAAAAATAACGAAACGCAATATATGTTTACAAGAGGTAAACATTACCAAAATATTTTTGTATAAATTCAATGAAACTGAGAAATTTAAAACCATAAAATCCCATAGCTTTGTGGATAAAGTATTCTAAAGAAAAGGTTGTGATAACTGGCTAATCTATATCATCACATATTATACAATATCATCTTACTAACAACTTCAGATAACTATTATTATTATTAGTCCCTTGGGTTCCTAGTGGAACATAGGGCTTCAGTAGCACGTCTCCATTTCATCCTGTTCTCTGAGATCTTTTCAACCTGGTCCCACGACAGCCCAGAAGCTCTCATTTCCTCCTCGCACGACCTCCTCCATGTCACCCTCACCTCGGACGCCCAACTCGTCGCTTCCCATGGGGATTCCACTCGAGCAACTGGCCTGACGCGTGATGTCCTCAGTCGGCCTTCTCAGTGCATGCCCAATCCATCTCCACTTCCTCCTGCATATTTGTTGCGTGATAGGTTCTTGGTTGGTTCGTTCCCAGAGTTCCTTGTTGCTTATTCTTTCTGGCCATCTGATCTTCAGTAGCGAGCCAGCGTAAGCAGTTGTTGATGAATGTCTGTAGTTTATTGGAAATGCCTTTCGTGACGCGCCAAGTCTCTGAACCATACAACTTCAGATAATAAATGCAAACAATAAGAACTGTAATAGTGGCAATGTCATCACAGATCCATTGAAATGAATCGATTCCCTATGAACTACCAAATTGAATGTTACAATCAATATATCACTTTCAGTATCCTTCATAATCTTTTACTTTCTTTTCTTTTCAAGAAATTACTAATTACTAGGCACAAAGAATTATTGCAGTCAAAATAATTGTTATCTTGAAGATTTCGCATTTGACACCAAAGGAAATTTATGAGACAGTATTATATATTAACAGATTTCAATAATGAAGAAAATCATGACACTTACTCTCTATAAATGATTTAGTAGCTTATGAAAGTGAACATAAATGCAACTGATTGCTTTCAGCAAGTTTTTTATAAAGTGTGTCTATATTAATGTGGTCCCATAAGACAATGAAAACGAGATGACTAGTAAAAGTATCCAATATGAACTATAAATCTTATGGTTACATATATAAAATGCTATGAAAGTATAAAAATAGCCAAAGAGGATGAACAGCATAGACTTAGAATGTTATTAGGCAAGGTATAAAAATATATCTGATATAAAATGCAATAAAATCTCAATCCAATCTCTACCCTATTGAATGTGATCAGTTAAAGTGTGTGACTGCTTGCGGTTTCTTTCACATATTATTCAATTACATTCATAAATAGCAGTGTATTTTTAACCATTATGTTCGCAGTATAACTACGACCGGAACAGGTAGGCTTCAGGAAGTACAAATCATGTGCAGACCAAATTGCAACGCTTCGCATCATCATAGAACAGAGCATGGAATGACAGTCAACTCTCTACCTCAACTTCATCGACTTTGAGAAGGCTTTTGACAGTGTCGACCGAGAAGTAATTTGGAAACTGCTTCATTACTACGGAATACTGCAAACCTTTATCAATCTCATTCAACAACTATATGAAGACACCACATGCCAGCCAAGTAATTCACAATGGGAAGCTCAGTGATGCTTTTGAAGTGAAGTGAAGACAGGAGTGAAACAAGGTTGCCTACTATCCCCCATGATATTCCTGATTGTGGTCTAGTGGAGTGGATCGTGCAACAGAAAACAGTGGGGAGCTGTGAGAAGAGGGGGATACAATGGCTGGACTGCGGAAAAGAACCTAGAAGACTTGGATTTCCCCAGTGATGACTTGTGTCTGATGTCACACAAACTTGAAGATCTGCAGGCAAAAACTAACAAGTTGATAGAAGAGGCAGGGCAGAGAAGACGGGACTTCAGGTGAATATAGAGAAGACAGAGGTGATGAAGATACCACACCAACAACTCCAACAACAACAGCAAACTCCAATCACCATCAACGGGAGGAACTTAAAGGAAGTAACCTCCTTCACTTATCTAGGAAGCACTGTTTCAACTACAGGCGGCGGCACAGACGAGGATGTCAAAGTCAGAATCGGAAAAGCAAGACAGGTGTTCATTAGCCTGAAACCAGTGTGGAGATCTGCACTCAGCATGTGGAACAAGATACGGATTTTCAACACCAACGTCAAGTCAGTGCTTCTGTATGGTTCAGAGACTTGGCGCGTTACGAAAGGGATTTCCAATAAACTACAGACATTCATCAATAACTGCTTACGCTGGCTAGCTAATAAAGATTAGATGGATTGCCAGAAAGAATAAGCAATAAGGAACTCTGGGAACGAACCAACCAAGAACCTATCACGCAACAAATATGCAGGAGGAAGTGGAGATGGATTGGGCATGCACTGAGAAGGCCGACTGAGGACATCACGCGTCAGGCCAGTTGCTCGAGTGGAATCCCCATGGGAAGCGACGAGTTGGGCGTCCGAGGTGAGGGTGACATGGAGGAGGTCGTGCGAGGAGGAAATGAGAGCTTCTGGGCTGTCGTGGGACCAGGTTGAAAAGATCTCAGAGAACAGGATGAAATGGAGACGTGCTACTGAAGCCCTATGTTCCACTAGGAACCCAAGGGACTAATAAATAAATAAATAAATAAATATGTTCGCAGTATGAATTATATCAAGCTACAGTGATTGTTATGTACAGACTCAGGTGAGAGAAAAAAAGGTGATGCAGCATCAGATATCCTGAAAAATCGTCTTTCCAGAACAATTAGTTGGACCTTTTTCTCAGCAAAACTTCACTTGATCTTTACCTGTCGTAAATTGTTCACTGTTTGTATAAAAGACAATGTCCCTCGATAGGCTATATCCATGTGTATCTACCAGTTCACCTGCTCCTGTGGAGCTAGGTACATAAGCCGTAGTCGGAGATTGCTGTCAACACGTATACGAGAACATATTCCGGCATGGTTTTATAAGGCTGAAAGGAAATGCATCAGAAGTTTTATCCTTGAGCATTTTAATCGATTCCAACCATTCAGCAGACCCAAACAAAGATTTCAAGGTTGTCTATCGAATTCGCCCAAACACCTCACGTTTCCTCCTTGTTCAGCTTCTATAAACAGCAGGGGCCTTGGCTATTGATGAACTGAAGTCTAACCTCTGTGTGCAAAAGAAGTATATACAGTCTTTGTCTCTACCTTGGCCTTAATTTATATTAGTATTGGTGCGCTTTGTCCTCTTTTTCGTTTTTCACCCCCTTCGCCTTTTTTGTCAGATTAATCCTTGTACTCTTGTATCGTCATTATCATTTTGTTTTTTATATTTAATTGTTTCCGGTGTTATTTCATTTAATCTTTCTAATAATCGCAACTTTTAACAGAACATTTCCAATTTATTCCAGATAACTTGTCTCACTTATATTACCCAACCCTTTGATTGTTTACTAACGTTCTCACCTCCTTTTTACTCTATATGCACTTTATAAACGATTTGAAAATCTTACGTAACCCCTTTTCGTTATCATTCGACCTTTACGTCATCAACCAGCAACATTATAATTATAACCACCATTATTATTGTTTCAACCCCACCATTATTTAAGTTAAATCTTCCTCACGGATTACAGTCTTTTAATATCATGTATCAAGTTGTTATTCATCGTAGACTGACATCAGTTGGAGGAACAAAGGAAACCTGGGAGCACTGGACAGCTGTTTCGTCCTAGCATTGGGCTCCTCAGCAGTACGCACCCACGACCCCACTACCCCCCGGATCGAACCCGAGACTTTCAGGTTTTGTGGCCAGCACGTTACCATTGAACCACTGGGTCACAATCCAATCGTCCATATTTCCAACTTCTGTTAGCTCACAATATAGCGCAACCGCCACCCAATGTCATCTTCGAGTAACTCTCCTCACGACCATCAGGCTTTGCCCCCACCGGTCACGACTTCTCATTGGAACTTCAGGAATACCTCTCGAAGCTAGTCACCAATGAGCACTAGTTCAATTGAATTTCGAGGGAGTTGGAAATATTTCAAGTTGTTATTCATCGTATCATATGTGTATACGAATGTACAGCTTGAGAATAAATTCGTTGAAAAGAGTCCTCTTCGCTGAATATCTTGTTTTTGATGTCACAATGGGAATTATGAACGTATTGGAAAAAAAACTACAAGTCCTTTTTAATTTCAACCTTTAAGAAAACTTAAAAAACAGAAGACTTGACGTTAGAAAGTATACTTTTCACTGTTAAATTGCGAAAATGATAGCATGCTCATTTGTTATAGTGAGACAGAAACAGAAGGATTTACGACAAACTATCTAATAAATTCTTAAAGGTGAATAATAATCAATCTAACGATAAACTTACATTTCTTAGAATTTGTTCTGATGTCCGCTGACTTTCAAGTTTCGAAAAGAAGGTATCCACGGCCTAAATAAATTTTAACAGAAAAAAAGGGGGATAACGATAATACGACTAACTATTCTGTGCCTGAAAGATCATAGGAGTTGACTAGTGACTCTTTAGATACTCGTTGAGTAGACTGTAGAGATGGAGGTTCACTACCTGCGAATAAGGTTCACTCAATAATAAGACTTGGATTTCATATTGGATATCTCGTAAATGGAGGATACATTCGTGACTGGTGACAGTATATTTGTCCAGGAACATTTATTACTCTGTCTAGTATAAAGTGTAGAAATTGGACGTAGTAATACTTGTTAGTGATGGGTCGTGGCTAGCAGTGGAACCCAGGATGCGCACTTCGTCCTATTTGGGACTCGTCAGCTGGATGTAACTGCTTCCCAGTGAGTGTTGTTCCCATTGGGATTCGGACTCGAGAGTGATCCCAACAAACGCCAGAGAGTTATTCACTACACCACCGAGCCACGATAGCCAGTTCTTGTGCGACGAATATAGTTTTTAGTATAATTGTTTTTATATGATCACTAACACAATTAGAACTCTGGCAATATCGAGGCATCCACACAGGAGCCCATACGCCAATAGAGACCGATCAATTCGGTCCAATCTACGACGGCATCATATAAAAACAATTGTAGTAACACTTGGTTTATTATATTATTTGTCCCTTGGGTTCCTAATGGAACATAGGGCTTCAGTAGCACGTCTCCAGTGATCTCTGTTCTCTGAAATCTTTTGAACGTGGCTCCGCGACAGCCCACAAGCTCTCATTTCCTTCTCGCACCATCTCCTCCATGTCACCCTCACCTCGGACGCCCAACTGGTCGCTTCCCATCTGGGTTCCACTCGAGTTCCTGAACTGGCGCGTGATGTCCCCAGTCGGTCTTCTCAGTGTATGCCCAATCCATCTCCACCTCCTTCCATTGCATATTTGTTGGGTGATAGGTTCTTGGTTGGTTCGTTCCCAGAGTTCCTTGTTGCTTATTCTTTCTGGCAATCCATCTGACTTTCAGTAACGAGTCAGCGTAAGCAGTTGTTGATGAATGTCTGTAGTTTATTGGAAATCCCTTTCGTAACGCGCCAAGTCTCTGAACCATACAGAAGCACTGACTTGACGTTGGTGTTGAAAATCCGTATCTTGTTCCACATGCTGAGTGCAGATCTCCACACTGGTTTCAGGCTAATGAACACCTGTCTTGCTTTTCCGATTCTGACTTTGACATCCTCGTCTGTGCCGCCGCCTGTAGTTGAAACAGTGCTTCCTAGATAAGTGAAGGAGGTTACTTCCTTTAAGTTCCTCCCGTTGATGGTGATTGGAGTTTGCTGTTGTTGTTGGAGTTGTTGGTGTGGTATCTTCATCACCTCTGTCTTCTCTATATTCACCTGAAGTCCCGTCTTCTCTGCCCTGCCTCTTCTATCAACTTGTTAGTTTTTGCCTGCAGATCTTCAAGTTTGTGTGACATCAGACACAAGTCATCACTGGGGAAATCCAAGTCTTCTAGGTTCTTTTCCGCAGTCCAGCCATTGTATCCCCCTCTTCTCACAGCTCCCCACTGTTTTCTGTTGCACGATCCACTCCACTAGACCACAATCAGGAATATCATGGGGGATAGTAGGCAACCTTGTTTCACTCCTGTCTTCACTTCACTTCAAAAGCATCACTGAGCTTCCCATTGTGAATTACTTGGCTGGCATGTGGTGTCTTCATATAGTTGTTGAATGAGATTGATAAAGGTTTGAGGTACTCCGTAGTAATGAAGCAGTTTCCAAATTACCTCTCGGTCGACGCTGTCAAAAGCCTTCTCAAAGTCGATGAAGTTGAGGTAGAGGGTTGACTGTCATTCCATGCTCTGTTCTATGATGATGCAAAGCGTTGCAATTTGTTCCGCACATGTTTTGTGCCTCCTGAATCCAGGCTGTTTCGGTCGTAGTTTTGAATCCAGTGCATCCTTTAGCCTCTCCAGGATGATGAGGCTTAATATTCTGCTTGGAGTGGACAGGAGAGTGATTCCGCGCCAGTTCTTGCAAACACTGAGGTCTACCTTCTTCGGCAGTTTGACAAGGTAACCCTTCTTCCAATCAATGGCCAGGTACCTTCTCTTCCTTCCACACCTTCTGCAATAGTGGTGTGGTGTGAGCATGTCCGCTGTTGTCTCTGTGTCTGTTCTCAGTGCATGTGGCGGTATCTTGTCTGGTCCTGCTGCTTTCCCACATTTCAGTAGCTTTATGGCGTTCAGGACTTCCACTTTTGTTAGAGAATTTGTGTTCACTTGTAGTTCAGTGGCTGCAGGTGGTATTTCTGGATGAAGTGCAGGTGGTGATCGGTTCAAGAGCTTCTTGAAGTGGTCAGCTCATTGTTTCCTTTGTTTCTCTTCTTTCTTAATTAAATTTCCTTCATCATTTTTTATTGGCTTCGTCTGCTTTGATCTCTACCCTCCCAGATAGTAACCTGGTTATTTGATACAATGTTGTCAGGTCTCTCTTGCTCCTACCAGCAGCCTGTTCTGCTCCACTTGCCAGTGTTTCGTAGAAGTGTCTTTTGTCTTTTCGTGCACTCTTCTTCACTTCTTTGTCCAGTGTTTTATACATTGTACTCTGTTCCGCTAGTCGTTGTTCATCGTTGCACTGCACTGGTTTATCTTCTGCTTTCACTATCCTCCTCTCCTCTATCAGCTTCCATGTATCCATCGAGATCCATTCTTTATCTTCTTACTTCTTCCTTCCTAGTACTGTTGTGCAGGTTTCTTTCCACATCTCTTTCAAAGACTTCCAGAGATGCATTCCACTGCAATGACAGTTTAGTTAGCTGCTTGAAGAGTTTTATTACTTACATGAATATAAGTGTTTTAAGCACCACTATTCTTGGTAAACAAACCCAAACACCATGCCAAAGGAGGAAGGCATCAAGACTCTATGGGATAATTAACCAAGCACCTTTTGTGGATGCGTTCCCTGCATACTTTGGAGGTGAGAGTAGTAATAAAAACTAGTTACGATACAATTGAGTGTTATGAAAATGGGTTGAAAAGCTGAGATTTTTCCAAGTTATTAAGGTATTTGAAAAGTGACCATAAATTGTTTATTGTCTAGTTCTTAAGAAATGAGAATTCGAAGTATTCACTCAGTCTGAATGTCATGAAAGCATGCATAACCTATAAAAGCTATGATTAAAAGTACTTCTGAAATCTCTCTGATCCTATGACATTTAGCGGGTCGAAAGATAATGAAACTCAAACTTCTGATTCGATACATCTGGTAAAATTAGGCCAAATCTCCTGAAGTACACATTCAGCTAATAAAATCGATGAAGAATTTATATATATATATATATATATATATATATATATATATATATATATATATATATATATTAAGGAAAATCGTTATACAAGCTCTACTTTACTTTTGATGAAAAATCATCTTTAAACATTCAGCCTTATAAAATCCAGTGTATGTTGAGTATTAAAAATATGTAAAATATTCAGAAGGAAAGAATACTCAGCTCACCTTATTGAAACTGTTGAAAGTTATATAAGGTTTATCTTTATATTGTTCAAAGAGAAATGGTTGGAATTCTTCATAACTAAAAATGAATGCAATGAAAACTTATCTCTAAACACATATATGAGAAGTTAATTGAATGAATTCAAAGGCAGTGGAAATTAAAATACATTCTCACAAAGTTGTGTATATATTCAACTGATATACAGTCTATTAGGTAGGGACAAAATAATCTAGGAATTACATTACAGTTTGGAGTTAAAATATTTCACTTTGAGATGCTATTACACAGAATATGGATTTGGTACAGATAAGATAATAAACTTCAATTAAAAATGATACAATGGTGATCATGGGACAACATCCACGGTAATAATCTAGTACATGCACAGTTGAAAAATGTTCATCATCTGAGGGAAGTATTGTAGTCATAAAGATGAGTAACATAATATTGTAGCGAAATGTAATCAATGTCATATATTCAGGTAGAAAATGATGGGAAGCTTATTCGTAATAACCATATTAAGGAATACTAGTATACTTGGAGAATTTTATAGCCGCTTTTAATTTAAATTTACACCGTTTAACTTCGGAACTAAACGTATATCCAACCAAATATTTAGTTACATGGCATGGTAGTGGAGTTGCAGTCTCTTGACACGCAGTCCTTGTGGATATGTGATAAAGACATTCGGATATTGCAACCTGTTGACCTCTGAACCTTCAACAAAACTAAATAATTTGCAGAAACCCATTTTGAATGGATTCCAGTATTTTGGACATAAACTGATCTGATGTTCTTGAAAACTTGAATACTGCAGAAAATAGTAGGTTAGACTGGTTTAGTGATGAGTAGCCAAGTGAGAACATAACACTAGTCTATGAAGTCACTGACTTGGTCTAAGTTTTGTTAGTTGTGGGCCATCTAGTTTGGATCCTCAGTAAGATGTTTGGCAACAGTGTATGATATAGTTTATAACTGATTGCGGTGAAGCAGGCATAGTAACTATCTCCGCCTGAAGCCAGAAGACTCCATTGCTGTAAATTCATTGCTTATCGTCTTTTGGCTCCGATGACCTTTTTCTATGGCAAATCATAAGTATGAACTTGTATACGATGGTTTAAGTTGAAACTTCTCTGAACTGGATTACAGTTTCTAAATCTATCTAACTATTCGGATTTCGAAAGCCTGACAATATCATTGTCTTTAGAACACAAGTTGTTGGATACAGTTTATCATGCGAAGGGATGCATGATTGGTGAGTTGTATTTCAATGCTTTTACAACATTGTTATAATGATAATACTAATAACAACAATAACGAATGGTCACCCAATGGTATCCTACTTTAAGTAACAATTCTCACATTGATAACTGCAGTGCATTTTCTTGGTGCCTGTTGATATCTCCAACAAACATAAAAGTGCCAATTGAAATATATGAATTTCAGTTTAGAGGAATTTTGCCGATTTCAAGTTGGTACTTTTCATGTACTGAAATCAGCTGGAGAACCACTGAAAACCCAGGGGGGGCTGGATAGCTATTTAGTCTCAGTATGAGACACTTCAGCAGTGCGTACCCACCACCCCAGGTGTAGAACCCAGGACCTTCGAGTTCCACGGCGAACACATTACCATTGAGGCTACTGGGCCGGAATCCACTGGATTTAGTTATTATTCTATTACACCTATTCGAAGAGTAAACTCTCCTAATTTCGGAAGTGTCAGATCAGAGTAGTTTCTTCAGTCAACCAGACGATCGAAACATATCATGGAACTGCGGTACTAATAAAACTTGTTAACTAGGATGACGGACTCATCAGTTTTAGACAGTCAGTATTGCCATCTTCTACACAAGTTTAACTTACACCTCTGTACATGCTGAGTTAAACTTTTGTTAGAGACATGCAAACAACGTAAGAGAAGTTAACAGGTCCTCAGAAAAGTATCAGGATACCAAACTGTAGGGGATTTAAATGTCACGTAACCTTATATAACCTGAAAGAATGACAGGGATACAGAAAAAAAAGGTTTTTGAGAAGTAAATCTTGGTCGTATTGGGTTCTCTGAGCTGGATTGCTTAGCTGTGAAATTTCCATTGTCTTTCTATGCAACATCATCAGGACTAACTTCGGTAAGAAATAAGCTATCAGCATTTCTCCGTAAATAGTTGAGAAGTCTATATTGATAATAAATAACTACAAGATCAGAAGTTAGGCAGAGAAAAGGCAAATAAAATAATCTGTACCGTAGGTGACACAACAATGTAATAAGCTATGAATAACACTACGCTTTGTCAGCTTAGACTACTGAATCACTCATGGAGAAGTCTTGGTAGCTCATTTCAAATTGAATTCAGTGCTGATGTTGCCTAGAAAGACAATGAAAGTTTTACGACTAAACTAATCAGTTCAGAGAATGAAACGCAACCAAAATTATCTACCTGAGCTACAAATAATCTCCACAATTTTATAAATGCGAATATTTAAAAACAAGGTTTAGGTCATACAACTTTACACGAATCAGTTGAATATGCAAAGCATAATTATAGAACGTAGCATCTATTCATTTTTATTGATTAAACTAATGATAACTTTTAGCCCATTTCCCCTTTTTTTTACTCTTATAGTGTATTTATATGCTTGGTATTGTCTAAGTGGTTGACGCGATGGGTTAACTGGAAGCCATATTGAAATTGTATTTTCCCCCGTTTCCTCATTGTGGCTTAAGTGCTTCTTGCTACTACGTAATCTCGGATATGAGTGCATAAGTCATATTAATTAGTAATTATTTTTAAATACAAAACCACTTATTATTATCACGAAAAAACAAGACAAACTTTTAAACTAAAGCGACTCTGTGGTGCATGAATCCAGGTGAAGCTAACATAGTATCATAAAGAAAATATGAAAACGTGTAGAACTAGTTACCTTTGCAAACCTTCTGAAGATGATTGTGATTTACCAAATATGTAACCGCACGGAGTAGTGTTATCCAGTGAATACGCTTTCAGTAAAATATCCCTTAAGGCCATGGTGAAATGCTTAACATACTGCTTCATTACATCTGATTCGATGAATTCTGGTTGAAAGTCATCTTTTTGGGCTTTCATGCCTTTAATCTCCTTTTGCGCCACACGCATACAGTGTTCTATGATAACATTTCCATAAGCTAGGTCGATAATAACAAAAGTAAGAAGGGATGGTTTGGATAGTTCGTTTTCAAAAGCAGTGTTAGTGATTATACATGCTGGGTATTGGTACAATATACTTTAACTCAAAACAGAGATAATCCGAAAATAATTTCATCAGTAACTTCTTAGATGCTACTTTTTTAATTCTGAAAAGTGACTTTCATCAGCGAAATACAAAACCACTCAACTAAAATCTTGCATTCATTGCGGAGTGAATGGGTTTAACCACTGTAAATATCTATACTTGGAGATTACTGTGATGTTCAGTAGCTAATGACAAAAAAGAAAAAATGGAAAACAGGGGCGGAAGGAATATATTTCATTCCAACTCGAGAAAAACTTGTTCACTGGGCACCAAGCCACTCTATGTACGGCCTTGTAAAACTAAGTGGGTAGAGTACAGTATGAACTCAGGACCTATTTAATTGGGAGTTGAGTATTTAAGCCAGCGAATTACATCTCAGAAACAATCCCCAAAAAGTGTGTGTACGGTGAATAGGTCGGTGACAAAGACGTTTAAGAAACACAGAAACCAGTAATGGAACCTGTTTCAATTTTGTAGTTGAATACAAATCTGCTACAGGTTACTGTAAAACAAAGTAGATTGTTAACGAGTGTCTACTCAATCCAAAAGTTGTTGTTCACGAGTTGCACAGATCAGTATGCTACACTGCTTTAGTAAACTTAAATTCTGGTTCAGAAAAGCAGTGGTTTAGGCTGACATACTTCTTCGTGAAACAAAATAACATATTACATATACAGATAAGGGAAAAAGAAGCGGCTCAGCACCATTATTCATCAGTAGAAGTCGCAAATCATTACTAAAGCTAAAGCAAAGTGCAAACGGTAAAGCAAAACGAAATTAATGGATATAATGAAAACAGTCATATCAATGAAGGTACTGTCAAAAAAACAACATGAATTAAAAACAACACAACAAAATATTCACTGCTTACAGTAAGATGAAACATAATGCATTCGTGCAGCTCAGTCAGTTAATGCCAACACGAAATTCGATATTAAATTTGCTACACAGATCAATATATCAAGACGCAAGGCAGCAAGATGAATGATAGTGAAATAAAAAAAAGACAATGTAATCGAAAGTCCTAGAAAGTCACACAAACAGAAGGGAATAAAGCGAGTAACGAAATGTTATGTGATGAAGATGAAAAGCAGATGCATCTGCAACCTCTAGAATCGATGCTGAGCCACATTACCTAGTCCTTAATCATTGACTTTAGTTTCCATGTGGACTTAAATTTGAAAATCTACGTTACCGAACATTGCTCAAACCAACAATCAACGAATTCAAGCACTGAGGGCTTGTTTTTAGTTTGGTCCCCTATAACGTTTCACCGGCCTGAAGTAACTTCAATTAACATTGCACAGACGATGCAGTAGATGGTGAGTAGGCATGCGTGATATGTGTCTCAGACACCAGAGTCGATGACATCTCATAACCCCATCGACTGACTTTCCTCGCCTACCAAAAACTCTACGTTAAACTTATACGTTACTCACATGGTGACACCATGATACAAAAAAAGACGACGGTGGTCAAACACTGGAAACTTCCTCATATGATCTACCTTTAACGGCTATGCTTTATGGCCACACAATAGAACAGAGCGAACTGCATTGCAGTACATTTGACCCTTAATAGACAATCGGATATTACGGCAGTGCCATAAATGGTGTAAGTTGGCGAAATAAAGCGAGTCTTTTTCATCCATGCAGAGATTTTGTTGCTAACTGACCAACCAGGGCTGATTCAACTGCTAAAGTGAAGTAGCTAACACGCCTAACCACTTAACTCCTTATTACTAGATAAGACACCAGTAAAGGCCGCTCGTGGAGTATGAATTTGAATTCAAGTAGTGTTAGTTGCATTCAAAACATTCTCAAATTACTACTCAAGATGTCAGCTTCCTTAACCAACAGAGTTATCACCTGCGTACTCTAGGTTAACTAATCAGCCTCATGTGATGATTTAGATCCCTGTAGGATTAAACTAGGAGACGTAGACCTTCATACAAAATATATATGGCAAAGCTGAGTAGATGGATTGAGTGGGCATTCCCGATGGGCACTACTGGATGTACACAGCTTAGTTGATATTTCACCATAGGCTATGACACACATGAGTTCAAATACAGAGCCTTACACAGTGATGAATTTACCTAGAATTACATCCAATGTCAAAGGACCTCTAGACCGATGGAGTTGAATGCCATCTTTAGGTACAGCTAGTATCGGGTGACAGTGTCTTTACTTTAAGATTTGGTGTATGATGAAGATCTAGTCAACACACCCGCGTTACAACAATCGGTGCTAAACATTATTACTTTAAGTCTCTTACTATCGAATTCAGTTATTTTCTAAACCTTGTGAAGAGTCTACATTGCTTTACGCTCCTCTGACCAACTTTCAAAACTTACAGACTGGCGTTACGTATGGCTCTAGTTAATATAACGCTATCCTTACTTTGTTCTTGTCTACGTACCAATAAAAACTAGAAGTGTGCAGTAGCTAGATATGCGTAACATATACCCTATATAGCGGAGTTCCATTTATAAGAAATCTCTGAGATGTTTGCTACCGTACCGATGTTACATTTTGATGATAGAATTTCCACAAGATCAGCATACCAGTTAAACAAAATACTCCAAAGAGAAATGGCAAAGTATTATTCCTGGGAACATCTCCAATCGTCCATAAAGATGACTTTTAGTTATCTCAGACATGTGGTTATTGAAGAGACCAGTTAATCTGAAAAAGAAGCCAGTGATTAGAGAAGATCAATAAAATGTATCAAAGATTGCTTCGTTATATCTCGACTAATCATATGTCTCTCGTGAGGAATAAGTTACACTTATTATTTCCGCAATTATCAGTTTAAGCTTTGGGCTGAAAGGCTAAACTGTATGTTGTTTGAGTGTAGACTTTTCAGGCATTGTGCAGCTAGTCAAAGCACTGTTTCGATTATAAAATCATACTCGAACATTTCAGTAAAATTTCTGTCAGAATAACCAAACGAATATCTGAATTAACGTAAAGTATGTCGTTTAAAAAGTGAAAGGTTATCGACTTCGTACCGAAGATAGATAAACACTTACGCAACTCGAGAGATAATGTTTTGTTTATGGGAGGATTTTCGCACGTTTGTACATTAGATGTCCATGGTCCTTTGGATGACTGGAATAAGGGAATGAGGAAGTCTTCTATATCATTTAAAGATTTTTCACTTTTTAAGTCTTGAAAGCACTCTAGGATTTGTCGACACGACTCTGTAGGAAATTTCTCATGGGCTGCAAATCGAATATTCTGATTCTTATCAGTTCGTGGACGCAGCAGATGTAGGATCGTATATGAATCGTCGGCAAGAAGCATATTCCCCTAAAAACAAAAATGAGGCATTTTATCGGTACTTAGCTAGATATTTCAACTAAAATAACAGGAAAACTGAAGTATAAATGGTAGAAATTACGTATTCAAAACATTACCTTAAGAGTTAAAGCAGTAGAAGCAACCGCGCATACGAGATCTTGTTAACTATATTCTGCATGAAAAAATGGATTTTAGTTTGTATCTATTACGAGAAACAAACAACACAATGGATTTTGATGTCCGAAGCAAATCAGCCTGTTAATGCCCGAAAAACTTACCAACATTCTTATCATGGGTAAAAATGGATGCGAAGACTGTAAAGCATTTCACTGATTGCTAGAAACAGATTGATTGAACTCTAAAACTGTTTAGCGAAGACGTCACTCATCTTGTACTAATAGTAACCTGTATGATTAACAATTGCTTCCAATAAGCCAGTCATAAGCAGACTATCCTCTAGAATTATACATACTGAGGAATATCACAGCTGTTTTTAAAAACAATATATAAGTATTAAAAGGTAACTATCAGAAAATCATGTGGTCAGTAAGTAGTTAAAGGATTCAAAGGTTAAATTAATAGAGGGCATAGAGAATCAAAAATAGTTACAAAATGCTCCCAATTTAAAGTTCATCGAAAAGAACTACCAATAAAAAAATATTTATCAGACCGATTTTCAAAGAGATTTCTAAGAGTAAAATAGATGCCAGGAAATGGCAGTAAGGTTATGACTTTAAAATTACACTTTTATTATAAGTTGTGTAGCATCAGGAAAACACATTTTAGGGGTCTGATTACGAAATATTGGGGGAGTAAAAATGGAGGCACGCTCACTAAACGGTGCTTGGATTTTCCGGAAGGTCTCAATCAGTAGTAAAGACTTTACCTATTACAAGGCATGCTAAAATATCCTATGGGAAGATCAGTGCTACTGGCTGTATAACTGCGCATTAATATCAATGTAAATTCTTAGATCATATTTGTATCTACCAACGAATATGAGGAAAGGTAACAAGATGGCTACAGACATACTCTACTTATTCATACCGTCCCACGAATAAACTCAATAACCAAGATAGTACACATTCTGTACTGTTTATTTTTTTTGAGTATCGCTCAGTGAACTAGGCCCTTGAATCCAATTTAATGGAAAATGAATTCAAATGATTTTCCACCGACCGGATTCATCAAGTAAGATATGGACTGGTTAACGTATTAACACACCACTACATACTTTCAAGCTAAACATCGATGCAATTTGGCTCTGTAACGCTATCTCGTACTTAACACATGCCAAAAAGAACATATGACTCGACAAATGTAATGTAGGGTAGCTAATAACTCAAGCGCTGTGCACCTCCAATTCAACGGTTGAAAGATAGAGATCATGCTGAGTAATGATCTGAAAATGATGACATATAAGTATCCTAACCATAAAGGTGTACAGAAAGTATAAGTCATTTCAGTGATTTACGTTAACATTGTTGGTATATTCTGATGAATTTTATTATCGAAGTTCATGATAGGGACAAAAAAATGACTGGATCCATGCACATCTTCAATGAAACGGGTGAGGGAGTTGATTTCAGTCTTGATGGATTGATGGTCGATGAAATCTCAGCATAAATTCAAAAGGCTCGACCGTTTTATATTAACTTCTGTCAACTACAAAACCAACGAAGTATCCGATAGCCTATCAAGCGTTGATTGTACCTGCAACTTTTCTGTTTTACTATTCAGATATGAAACATGGACATCGAAGACGGAGTTTGAAAAGGCTTTATGCGTTTTAACACTTTTGTTTTCATCGCATTATCTGTGACCTTCAACCACCAACTAAGTAACGTAAGGATTAGGCATAAAACTACTCAAGATAAGTCAGCTGATGAAATGGTAGGATATCATCGTTAGAAGTGACCGGAACATGCTATGCACGCCAGGTCACTGTATACTTTAGGTGAGGTAGTTAGGTTGGAAAAAGACAGTGACTGGACTGAGATGTGGCGCCAATCCATGAGGTCTGTAACTGTAGCTTTGTGGAAATGGCTTCTTGGCTGCGTTCCATGAAACAACTAAGAACAACAGTCGGAGAATAAGTGATGTGGCTCCAAAAAATGCTTTATCTGCATTTTATGCTTTATATTGCCCTATTCTGCGGCTTAGAATATTCTGCAAGTCAACGTAGACCTCGTCCTGAGGTTCGGTAATATGAACCAGTATGCAGTAATGAGTCGTATAGTTGGATGGTATATTTGAGGCATGATAGCTTTCACACTTGGATACTTATACTATGGTCAGCAGACGATATTGAGTTAGTGCTATTTATATAATACAGCCTGCGTCGTTAAAGCTGTCAGTAATAACTTTAAAGCAAGATTTTCAAATGCTGGTAAGATAAGGTACACAGAGCCAACCATGACACCTGCTACAGGTTTGTTTCCAATGAAGACTCCAAGATTAGATACCTTTTTTGTTTAAACCTCCAAATAACTCCAAAAGGGTACAGAATATCTTTACATTTTACATCAGTCAATCAGTTTTCTGAAAACCCACTAAAGTACATAGTGATCATGTTGATATAAAGATGGCGTAAATTCCAGTCGTGGTACCCAGAAATATTCCATTTAACACCTGTGCATCATCACTGAGTTATTTTACACTGAACCACTTGATTTTTATGGAAGACGGGTCCAATTCTTTATGAACAATTTGTTGTAACCCTACCGAATCTCCTTCAAGGACTGACAAGATATGCAACTGTCCAGTACAACACCCAATAGGCGTGGTGCGTGGTACAAGATGTCACCGACAACTTAGGAATGTGCCTTAAATTCAATGTAATATTGGATGCTGCTTAGAAACCTGAAACTGGGGTGATAGGATGAAAATAAAAATAAAAATGTGACTTCGTAAACCTGTAGTTTACGAACAGATATTGGGGAAGTTGTCATTTCTGTAACGCAGGCAGCGGTGGATGGATTATCATAAACGTAAAACTTTAAGAACACGTCTCCAATTCGGTCCTCAACCGATCATAAGACGATATCAGCCAAACCTCACTAAACACAGTTTCACTTGGCAAACTACCTGGATGCCACGGCTACTTTCAACTTTATTAGGAAGCCAGTAAGCATCAATAACTACTGCAATTGATTAAACAACGATAAAAGTGACCAGCATCTGTGGGATAAGAAACTGAATTTCGCAAACTAGATAAGTATGTTCTTATCCATAAGAATTCCAGCCTTTGATAATACCCAGCTACATGCATGAGAAAGGTTGTGGGCTAGGCTGAAAAACCAACTAGGAGGAAAGTACGATGGCTATCAGTTTATCTAAACGTAAAGTTTACGGAGAACGACTTTGAATTGCATGTAATATTCTCTTTTTCAAAGCTGAAAATCAAAACAAGCCAGTATGTTACAGGGTCTACGCTTAGCATTCTTTAAGGAACTGTAGCTAGGCGAAAACCCTAAATCATAAAGCAAAGTGTATCTGAGGAAAATGCTAGCTTCAAACTTAAAATTCGTAGATTTTGATTTAATTTACGAGAGAAGACCGTTACAAGACTTACTTTGTCATACAACTCCACAATTAAGTGATATGCAGAAGACTCGTAACCAATCTGGATGTCAACAACACGGTCTGCTCCTATCTGTGATATGTTTACAATCTTCTTGTTTCTGATGTGTTTTCGGAGCTGAAATTTATTCAAAAGATTAGCTGTGGTTTACATAAACTCATTGACAAATAAATCATGAATCAGACATGAACTCACCTTCATTGAAAACCCAGAAGGCATCATATTCTTAGGCCATTCAAAGTCAGTAATATGAATACGTGAACCAGATTCCAAGAGAAGAATAGCTTTGTCATCAGATGTTACGCTAAATTATATGCCGAAATATAAAAAAAGGTGATTTACCTGTTGAGTTTTAGAAGATACGTCTTATTATCTACGTCATAGATGTTGTTTACCCTATATCCAAGTACCCTTCAATGAAAATTATTTAATGCTCATAAACGAATACCGATTACGTATTTCTGAGACGGATACCATTACGTCGAAAGTAGTGTATATAAGCTTCATCCTCGAGTGAGTGTAACGCAGTACTTCGTCTTGGGACTAAGTTCTACGTTTCTCCAGATAAAGTGGTTTCAATTTATTTAAATTGGCATCTGGTGACACAGATCTTGATTCAGTTCTTGTAATAAATTCATCTGGAGAGATACAAAAGGAGACAGTGTTACTTCTGACCTTATAACAGATGTAAATGATTATCGACGGAATAGAAACTTCAATATCCAATATCTTTTTAACGAGCTTGTGTAAACCAGTTGATTTCTTCTTGCTCGCTTCTTGGTCTAGCGGAACGGTTCCAGATCTTTGGCGGATTCCGATGCAGTAGATCCAGCCACTCGTCTGCTATACCTCTGATTTACAGAACAGGAAGTTAAGTGTTGGTTCGTTTGCCGTGGACTGTGGTGCAGTTGGCTTCTTCAGATGTCGAGTTGCCAGACAGTTGTTCGGACCGATCGCTAGAGAGGGTTAGGGATAGTGAAGAGGGAACCTAGAAAGTGTTTGTGTGAGTAAAAGAAAAGAGGAACTAGTGGAGCAATCCACTTACACCCAGGTAAGGTGAGTAGGGGTGCAAAGGGATGAAGAACTTGGGTAAGTGAGGCTAACCTATGGCAAGTGGAAGGGGCGAAAAGGGCTTGAATGGTTACAATAGAAAGAAAACTGGTTGGGGTGGCTTCACATCACTTCGTGTTCCAGCTATGCGTGGGTAGACCGTGGGTCTCTGCATGACTGTCTAGCCTCCTCTTGAGGCTTTCAACAGTTGGGGCGGAGACCACCTCTGCTGGTAGTGCGTTCCAGTAACCACAGACTCGGAGGGAGAAGAACTGTGAACGCACATGCGTTTTTGACTTCTGGTGTGCTATTCCATTGGGGTTTCCTCGAGGATCTCCGTATTGGCCACACGGTAGGACTCCCCCGTTTGGGTGACTTGGGCTACTTATTATTTTGTAAGCCATTATCAAGTCGCTACTTATCCTTCGATAGCTAAGGAAGTATAGACTTAGGTCTCTCAGTCTATCCTCATATGGTTTTCGTTTCATTCCAACAACCCCTTTTGTGGCTCGCCTCTGGACTTTCTGAAGTAGGTTCGTGCCTCTTTTCAGCTGTAGTGGAGCGAAGACGTTATGGACCTCTAAGTGGGGCCGTATGTAAGTCTTGTGGATCTTCAGAAAGAGTTCTGGAGCGAGGGCACCCAGTTGTCCATGCACAAAGTGTAGTACAGCATATGCTTTTGTGGCATCACCTGGGTAATTGGAACTGGTGTCCAGTTTCTCCATCACCGTTAAACCCATGTCTTTTTCTACTGTGGCATGGGATAGACGTGAACCACAGAGATGGTAGGATGTTTTCGGGGATCAGGAGTGCGGAAAAACATGGACCGGCACTTATCCAGATTAAATGCCGGTTCGTTAATAGGTCCCCATTTCTCTAGTGTTCTGAGGTCCTTCTGTAATGCCATAGATTCCGCCTTGCAAGTTATTGCCCTCCATAACTTGACATCATTAGCGTATAGGAGAATCGGGGAGCTGATATGTTGCGGCAGGTCATTCACGAACAGTAGGAACGACAGTGGGCCCAGGATTGCTCCTTGTGAGACAGCGGATGAGGATGTTCTCCAAGTTGAGTAGACCCTGTTGACTTTCTTGCAGAACTCCCTGTTGTCTAAGCAGTTCTGCAGCCACATTGGCACCTGGCTGCGAATACCTAACCCAGCTATCTTATGTATTAGGATCGTGTGTGAGACGGTGTCAAAGGCCTTGGCGAAGTCCAGAAAAATTGCGTGGACCGGGACCTTGAAACCCCAGCATTCTGTCCAGTGGTCATGGGCCGTCAGGAGGTTGGAGGCACAGGACCTACAATTCCGGGAACCATGTTGAGCGTCACTGAGTGCTTGTTTTTTGTCCAGATATTCCCTGATACGGTCACCCATCACACTTTCCATAACTTTCGATATCACTGGTAGAAGTGCTATGGGTCTATAACAGTTGGGATTCTGCCTGTCCCCTCCTCTGAAGATGGGAGAAAAGAGAGACCGTTTCCTTTCTCGTAGGAGCCTTCGCTCATCCAAGGAGTGTTGGAAGAGGTTGCAGAGTGGGCCACTTAGGGTACTTGCACATTCTTTCAACACAGATGGGCGGATTTCGTCGCAGCCTGGGGATTTTCCCGCGCTTAGCTTTGGAAACTTGTCGAGAACAACAGCGCGAGTTATCTGTATTTCGTGTAACTCAGTAGCATTAGGTAACTTTGAGGGCTGTTCGTGCAGTCGGCATAAGCACTCTCTTGATGAAATTTTGAGTTGTGTTGAATGTGGTGCTCAGCATTTCAGCAATCTCCTGTCCAGAGGGGTTTTCTACACCCGGACGTTTTATGACATATGCTCCTTGGCTTGTCGATTTTCTTTCTGCCATGAATCGGTAAAGGTTTTTAGGGCTTACCTCGAGCCTTTCGGCGAGGTTGAACTGGAACGACCTCCTGTCTCCCCGCACCCTTACGTTGCCTCGATTCCGTAGAGTCATGTATGCGTCATGGTCGTCCTGTTCTCTGCAGTCTCCATGTGTGCCACGCCCTTCTCTTGGCTTTTAGAAGGCGCTCAGCTTGCACTAAGCTTGCTTCCGCTTCTAGAATCTATAGATCGCCAGTTCCTGTGGTTTTTAACCTGTGTACATTTAAGAAACGATTAAAAGATGGCAGAAAAAGTTTGAAAATTCACTTAGTTCTGCGTCGGCTCATATCCATTTCTACTACACACAAATCAATCTGGCGTTTGGTGGACTCAGCTGAAGCAGCCTGGACCACTTCTGCTAAAAGAGCACTCCGGGACTTAGCGACTCTTGGGGAATGGAAGTCGCGTCCGATATCTAACCCGTTACTTTTCAGCCTTCGGTTCCACACGTGTCCTACAAGTCTGTTACTGCAACTAAGATTCAATAACTGACGGAGTTGGTATCCGATGGTACTAAAGAAGTGCGCCGTCATCAGATCCTCTTCTAGCCTTCGACATTCCACAAGATATGGATCAATAGCAACCAGCCTTTCTCCACACATCTTCGGATTTGGTCCTCAAACAGGTTTGGTCGACAGCCTTTTGAAGTGTTCTAAGCTTAAATTTTCCCTCTGCAGAAAAGAGGGGGAAACGGCTGTCCCGAAGACTAGGCGAGACCGTTTGAAGCTTTCGAAAATTTGTGACCTCGTGGATATAAAAGGAACTAGTCGGCGAATTTTGCTTTGATCCCGGCCGATCTTAATTATTCACTAAAACAGACGTGGTTAGTATGATGTAACGCCGTAGCGAAGTCTAGCCAGATACCATCAATTAGACCCCGACAGTAGAGAGTACAACTCCACACATCTGTGAGCAAGTTGGCGGTGCAGGATTCCACATCAGTAAATCCATGCTGTTGGGATTTTATCAGGTTAATCGTCATGAGGTGATCGCTCAGTATATCGTGAACCAAAGATTCCATTACTTTGAAAGGTATAGGTAAGCGCTTCACTGGTTTGTATTCATTGTGGCCACTGCACTGACCTCATTTCAAGATCAGCTTTAAAATTTGTCCTGGTGCGAACTTGACAGACGCAAAGGCCAATCACTAATTATTCGAACTTTTATGTACCCACGAATACGAGACCAAGGAGGAACACAATAGTGTAGTCGGATGGAATAGTATATTTGGATGGTTGTGTCAAGATAACGATGCGTTCCTACTAACTGGCTAGAGAGCCGATTACGAGCAGTGCAACGTGACACGACAGCGTGCCAAATGGCTAGGATGCTTGACCGGGTGCCTTCAGCTTAGCGAGTCCAGTTAAACCATCAAGGTCAGCATCAATGTTGAATGTCGTCGAACCCTAAGACAATACCAGCCGGAAGTAAAAACCGAGTGGTCTCTCCACTGATCAAACTCTTCGGGTGGGCTCACTGCGAGAAGTGGCCCCTGGTTGTCTAAACTTATTCTAGGGTGTCGTGGCAAATGAAAAATAAAATACGACAAATCGAATTGTACATCGATCACAGTCCTTAGTTTCCTTTGACGTTCTGTCCAGTGCTCGTTGCACCTGGAATATAAATAAAAGTCTAATACCAGGAAAGGGTTTCGCAAAATGGGAATTATCCATATATAAATTTATTGAAATAAAGTCTACGCTATTTTAGAATAAAATGTTTCGTTACATGGTTGTAGCAAAAAAATTGACACAAAAAGGCGAAATGTACGAGGATTTGCACATTGCCGGCAAATAAGAAGAATGGTGCCCCGGGAAAAATGTTGAATTAAAAAATATGGTTGGCACATCTTATTTCACACCACTAAGTTGAATACAACTTCAAATACTGCCGTTATAGCGTGAAATAATCCATACTCAAATCGGTGCCCATGGTCGGTTGTTACGTAAGATGGACATCAAAAGTTCACGATCCGTCTCCCTGCGAAAACACGAGCGACTAATTCATTAGCAATATCTTTCACAGGTACTGCTTCTGGCCATTCCGTAAAGCGATCCACTCAGATGGAAAGGTAGGTGAATCCACTAGATTCAGGCAGAGGTCCCACAATATCTATATGGGCGTGGTCAAAAAGCATGTCTGGGGCTAGAAAAAACTTGAAGGGCTTTTCGTGTGTCAAGTGACTTTGAACTTCTAACAAGCTAAGCACAACTGAGCCCACACGTTAACGTCTTCGCCCATTCCAGGCTAACAGAAACGTTGTGCAATAGACCTAATTGTGGCTCGTTCACCTGGATGGAACATTTTGTGCAACGTATTGAACACGTTGTGTCGACGACTCCTCGAACTATTGGGCGTGGTTGACTAGCAGAGATATCACACAAAATCGCATCCTTGCCTGATCCTACTTAACACAGTCGCAGCTTGAGAGCTGCGGACGGCAACTCATGATGTAGCTCAAGGTCTTCCTTTTGACACCGAGTTAGTTCAACGAGATCAACGCCCTCGATATGGCTTATCGAAGCCATTCTAGATGGTGCATCGGCTACAGAATTATCTGTTCCAG